AATGTAAGTTTGTGATTTCTCAATGTATTGAATAAAAACTTTTTTATATAACCTATATATGTTTAAGAATTCTCAATTTTTTTAAAAGAAAAAAAAATATTACTAAGCTTTTTAGAATGTATTGAATAAAAACTTTTTTTACTAAACTATATATGTTTAAGAATTCTCAATTTTTAAAAATACGTTTTTAAAAAAAAAAAGAATTTTTTTTTTTTTAATTCATAAGAACCCGATCTTGAGGTTCACTAATGGAATAGCAAATAGATTTGGGGTTCAACACTGTTCATGGTCCCACCCGAAAATTAATAAAAAATTCTAGTGAACCCCAAGAGGGGGTTCACTAATGGGCATGCTCTTATATGTTAAATGTAATTTTTTATTACTTGTAATAATTAAAAATAAAGTGGCTAAATTCACGTAAGATATGTAAACACGAGTGTATTTTCATCTTCTCGTTTCCTTATTTGTTTTTTTTTTTTTTAACTCTGGTTATAATATTTGGATTTCAGTAGAGTTTTCCATTTCTATTTTTGGTAACTGAGTGCACTCTTTTGTAACCAAACATGGCATGGTTCAAGGCAATAACTATTACTTGTCCTCTTACAACATCTAACTGTGAGAATGAATTACAGATATATTGTCAAACTTTCAGTGACTAGATTCTGTATACAAATCTCTATGAGGCCTCAAGCTTTTGACATTTTCTTTTCATTACGCCTGAGATTTTTGTGAGAATGCTCTAAAATATTGTTCTCCCTTTGCTCTTATTTCACTAGTTCAAGCTTTCTCTACGAATCGAATATTATATCAGTTTTCATATATACTGCAGTCAAATTAGCAAACTTTTTGAAGTAAATTATAGCTTAGAATAATGGCTTATTAGGGACATGAGTATAATGCCAAAACATAGACTCTCATTGGTTGTTGTTGGATGTAACAAATCAGAGCAGGTAAAGAGAGGATAGATAATACACAAGGTTACAAATTAATCTTTGCTCATTGTATGTCCTCAGCAAAAACCTAAATTCTCTGTCTTTATATGAATAGTACACTTATGCTTTACAATTTTCTTAATATTCTTCATTATAATCAACTATTCAAAGTCTTAACCACTTCTTGAACTTATTCACTGTGGACATCCATATAAACTGTGGACAGACCCTTTTGTGTACAACCCACAGATAAAAAAAAAAATGGAGGAAGCAAAGGAAATTGAAGTTGGGGAAACTTCCACATCATCTAGAAAAGTCATAACATTTGAGCCAAAGCTGGTTATAAAGAAAGGAATATCAACTCTTGGATTTGTTCTGCGTTTATTTGCTGTTTTTGGAACTATAGGAAGTGCACTTGCCATGGGAACAACACAAGAATCAGTTGTCTCTTTGACTCAGCTTGTACTTCTTAAAGCTAAATACAGCGACTTACCAACACTCATGTAAAAGCTTCGGTGATCAATTATACGTTAGTTTGGTATATTTTTTGCATAGATAATAACCATATTGCTCTGTTTCATAGGTTCTTTGTGGTTGCAAACGCCGTTGCTGGTGGATATTTGGTTCTTTCACTACCTGTGAGTATCTTTCATATCATCAGTACTAAAGCTAAAACCTCAAGAATCATCTTGCTCGCCATCGATACGGTAACTTTTAGTTCCTACTCCTCTCTAACGTGTGACACAAGACGAATAACTTGTATCCCAAGAAAACGTGTATCTTATATAACATATGTATATGTAATTTTGTATCTAACGAGCCGATCTCTCATGTATAGTGTTGAAATTTATTGTTTCTTTGTATTTATAACAAGGTGATGTTGGCTTTGGTGAGCTGTGGTGCATCTGCAGCAACAGCAACCGTGTACTTAGCTCACGAGGGGAACACAACCGCTAATTGGCCGCCGATTTGCCAGCAATTTGATGGATTCTGCGAACGTATCTCAGGGTCTCTCATAGGGTCTTTCTGCGCAGTGATCTTGCTCATGCTTGTTGTTATCAGTTCCGGTATCTCTCTCTCACGCCACTAAGATATATAATCTAATTCAGCATCACAATCGTGGCGAAATACAATATGGTCTTTTTAAGTTTATATATAATGTGAACTTGTAATGCAATATAATGAGTACATATATTTCATATGAAGATATGCATTTAAGCAAGAAGCTCCACAACGTCGTCTATCGATTTCAATGTCTTCTCGTAGTAGAGATACGACTCATACACCTTTGGCGTCCGTACGTAAAAATCCAACTATTGCATCAACACACATTTTAACAAAGTTATTATAGAACATTAATAAAAATATGATATACTATGTCGTCGTTAAATATGAAAATACAAATACAACTATCCATGTATCCTTTGATTTACATTTATCTTGTAAATATAATATTACTCTTAGATGAATAATATTATGGTATTTGAATTCCAGATAATTTAAATCGTTTTAACATTATAAATATTTTATAAAAAAAGTTTTGATCAAACAGTTATATTATTCACACTCTAATTTAGCTCAATGAAATATATCAAAACGTAAACACCAATATTTAAACATCTTTCAGTTTCAAAAAAAAAAATATATTTAAACATTTTATATGAAAGATTAATTACTTAACATATGTATACATACCTCACTCATGTTGTTGACTAGCTGATTTGCCGCTTGAACGTAATCATTCCGGCGACTCTCCGGCAAGATGTTCATAGCATTGGTCAAATCCTGAGACAGATAAGCCTGTTTTAATCTTATGTAGAAGATGACGTACCTCCACGACATATGGTCCAGCATCTCCCTCATGTCTCTTAATCCTTCCGCCGTCTGTTTTATACGCGCCGCCGCGTCCTCCGGCGATAACCCTGGCTGGAAATATTTTTCCTTTATGAACGACCTAGTTCCCCATTTCTCCTGTGCTGACGCTGCTGACGTGGCGATGGCACTGGCGCCGATGGCCGTGAGTGTTATAAGTGATGTCAGGGTTGTCCTGCGAGTGAAGTTGTTTTGTTCGGATTCTCCGACGCAGCAAGTGATGGGGGTTAGTGGATTTTTACGGCGATGGTAGTTTGACCGGTGGAGATACGGTGGTGGAGTTTTGGTGGTCAAGGAGCTCATTGGATTTTCGTTTTACTCTTTTTTAAAAAAAAAATTGAGAAAAGGGAATGGGAGGAGCTGAAATGTTATCTCAAGTGGAACTTCATCTTTTGTCACATTGTCATGTTATCTCTAACTAAAATGAGTGGTATACGACTATAAGCTCAACATTTGTTTGTGCGTGCAAAAAAGCTCAATATTTGAAACCAACAATGAAAAGAAAATTGGTTGAATTACAATTAATTTGGATATTCTTTAAAAAATACTTTCGTTAAAACATATTTTAACATTGAGAATTTTTAAACATTGAGGTTTAATAAATAAATTTTAAACATTTATAAATTATTTTTAAACATTTCTAAATAATTTAGGAGAGAATTGTTTCAATTTTTTTGCATCACGAATTTAAAATGATTATTTTAAGTTAAATTTGAAAAGTGGAATAATTTTTTTGTTGTATAAATAAGAAATTCCTAAAAAGGGTTAAAGATAATGGTAATAAATAATTATGCCAACCATGCATGACGTCATTTCATAGAGTTACAGACTGTTAATTATGCTAACCAATACGATACCATTTCATAGGCAATAGACTAGAGCGAAACCAGCTTTGGGGACTTCGTAACTTACCCGCCGGTGGAAAATGGAGCGTCGGCGGCGAGTGACCGGAGAAGCACCAACTGAAAAGAGGATCCTCCTCGCGTCACTATCCGCAATGGTCGCAGAGTCAGTTACATTTCCCATTGATCTCACAAAGACCAGAATGCAGCTCCACGGTTCCGGATCCGGATCCTCCCACCGGGTCGGCGCCATCGGAGTTGTCTCTGAAATCATGAAGCAGGAAGGGATGATGGGTTTCTACAAAGGTCTCTCTCCGGCGATTATAAGACACTTGTTCTACACGCCGATCAGAATCATAGGGTACGAGAATCTGAAAGGGTTCATTGTCAGGTCCGAAGCTAACAACGGCGAGTCTCTTCCTTTAGCTACTAAGGCTCTCCTCGGAGGGGTCTCTGGTGTAATGGCTCAGGTAAAGGTTGCATAAAGATGAGATCTTTAAAGTTTTTTTTATATCATTTTGCTTCTTGTTAGTTCTACTATGATATAAAGGTGAGAACTTTAGGTTTGTTTATATCATTTTGAGTGCTTCTTAGTTCTAAGATGGCATAAAGATGAGATCTTTAGGTTTGTTTATATCATTTTGCTTGCTTCTTAGTACTATGATGGCATAACGATGAGATCTTTTAGTTTGTTTATAGAAATAACACTGACACAACCTATTAAAGAGACTTGTGTAAGAGATTCCAAGGGAAGTGATGTAGCATCAGCATAAGATCTTGTCTAAAGGTCCTCTATTTTGTCTGTAACCTGCAGCCTTAACAACAGTAAAACCTCTAACTATCTTGTGAACTCAAAACTCTATACTTTTGTACTTGATAGTAGCCTAATTTGAACTGTTTAACATTTTTAAAGAAAAAGGATTTTCAAACACTTTATTTTTCACTTCAATTGTTAAACAGTTATAAGGACCAAAGCAATTAAAAAAAAAAAAGCAGCAAAGATAAAGTGATAAAAGAGGGCATAAGAATAGATCTTGAGAAAGATAAAGAGAGAAAGACCTGTGTAGTTAGGCTTTTAAATTTGTTTATATCATTTTTCTTACTTCTTAATTCTAAGATGGCATAAAGATATGATCTTTAGGTTTGTATTATATCATTTTTCTTACTTCTTAGTACTAAAGATGAGATCTTCAAGTTTTTTTTTATATCAGTTTGCTTGCTTCTTAGTACTATGATGACATAAAAATGAGATCTTTAAGTTTGTTTATATCCTTTGGATTAAGCTTTGAGTTTATCTACTCTACACCTAACGAACATGCTTCAAGGATTGTGTCGTAAATAGTAATGCAGGTTGTGGCTAGCCCGGCTGATTTAGTGAAAGTGAGGATGCAAGCAGATGGGAGATTAGTGAGCCAAGGTCTGAAACCGAGGTACTCTGGACCAGTGGAAGCTTTCACCAAGATCCTACAATCAGAAGGAGTGAAAGGGTTGTGGAAAGGTGTTGTTCCGAACATACAGAGAGCGTTTTTAGTGAACATGGGTGAGTTAGCTTGCTATGATCACGCTAAACACTTTGTGATCGATAAAAAGATCTCGGGTGGGGATAACATTTACGCGCATACTCTTGCATCTATAATGTCGGGTCTTGCTTCGACGACTCTGAGTTGTCCTGCTGATGTGGTGAAGACGAGGATGATGAATCAAGGGGAGAAAGGTGTGTACAGAAGCTCGTATGATTGTTTGGTGAAGACGGTTAGGTTTGAAGGAGTAAGAGCTTTGTGGAAAGGCTTTTTGCCGACATGGGGGAGGCTTGGACCATGGCAGTTTGTGTTTTGGGTCTCTTACGAGAAGTTTAGACAGCTTGCTGGTCTCTCTTCCTTTTAGTAAAAGCTAATTTGAGGCTTTGGGGGATTCTAAAACATCTTTGATAAGTAACATCTTACTCTTAGTTTCCCATTGGAGTAAGATTCAAAACTAGTTTGGTTTCAAGTCTAGTTTTAAATAAATTGGTTATTTTACTTAGGGTTTTATATCAGTTTTCATATTTTCATAACTAAATTGGTTATGAAGTGAAATTGTGAAAAGATATGTAAAATTCAAGTACTTTTTCTATTAAAATTTGTGATTTTTGCATATATTTAGTTGGTGTATATTTAACTGGAATGGAATATCAATAAATTCATGATTCTTCCATATATTTAGTGCACCAATGTTGGTGTATATTTAACTGAAATGGAATTTCACTAAATTTGTGATTTTTTGCACATATCTAATGCATGAATATTGGTGTATTTCTAACTAAAATGGAATATTATATACTTAGTGCATGAATGTTATTGGTGTATATCTATCTGAAATGAAAACTCACTAAATTTGTGATTTTTTTTTTCTTTTATTTATTGCATGAATGTTGGTGTATATCTCACTAAAATAGAATATCATTAAATTTACGACTTTTGTATATACTTACTACTTAGAGTATCCACTTCTGGTAACAGTTTATCTCTTTGTGTACATGCTACAGTCTGATCCATCACATGCTTGATGAGAGGACCTGTTCCTTCTTCAAAAAGTCTTACTTGGATTCCAAGTCTCTCGTCTGCTCTTGATAAGTAAGCAATGTAGGACCTTGTGACGATACCCCAGACTTGGTTTCTAGGGTGGAGAAGGTACCGACTCAAGTGGTGGAAGACAGTATCTTTCTGTGGGAACAGCTTGATGAGTTTGGTCTGAAAGCTAGGGATCAACCATAGAGATGGAACAAAGTATTGATTTGACTTAACAACCAGCCAACGCACTTTCCCTATGATCATTTGGTTATCTTCACAAAAAAACGTCTGATCATGATCACCATAATCATGAAAAAGATAAAGATAGAGTTGGGATGAGATTGTAGTGGAGTTGATGCCATGATTCTTCAACATTGTTCCGTAACAATGTGAGTGTTCCCTGTTGAAGCTATCAGGCTGATCCATCAATGGAGAATCAAGAGGTAGTAACCAGGAAGTACCAGGGAAATGCTCGCAGAAGAGGTCGCTTGTATCACTCCACTGGTCAACAAGAATGATTCTCTCTGTCAAGAGAGCATAGAGGAACACAGAAACCATAGAGAGTACATGATTATGAACAAGATTTTCTGTAGCTCTCTTGTAAGCTTCTGTGGCTAGACCGAAACGCTTGTGAAGCATCTCATAGCGTCTAAGCTTAGAGATTAGATACTCAGAAGGCTTGTAAGATGAAGGCTTGCGATACAAGGAAGACTGATACCTACTCAAGCAAGAATCTTCATCAAGGTCTGTACTAAGAAGCCCTCCTAACAATTTATCCATCGGTTCTTCATAATCATTTGGACCTACCAAAAACATGAAAAGAAAGAGAAGTCATATGATCAATCATATGTTTCTTTTTTTCCGAATTTTTTGAAAGAAAGAGAAGTCAAGAGAGCATTCTTCGTTACGGGTGGCTGTGAAAACGGACTTGTGGAGGTTGAAGATATTAGAGGATTGTAGTAGTAGTAGTAGTAGTTGCACCAAGCAAAATGTTAGTAAGCAAGTGGCTATTCCTATCTTGAGCTTCATCTTCCCACAGATTATAAACTGCATGTTCTCTTCATTACTTCTTTTTTCTTGCATGTATATATATATATATATTAAATACTGATCCTGGTTTCAAGATGAAGGAGGATGGACTGTCATCTTATGACCATTAAGAGGTTAAGGGAAACGTGATCTAAAAGGTCTGTTTATAACCATTATCACTGTCATGTTAAATGTTGCAAGTTAGCCTGTCAGTTTTTTGAATTGTTTTATCAACAAAATCGTAATCTGCTCTTTCGGATTATATATTGTAAACTTCATAGTGTGCACAAAGATAATGATTTTGGATTCGGTGTTGTAATCATCAAATCTTAATGCATTGCATCAAAAGATGCTAAGAAAGAGTATTAATAAACCACTGTCACTTTTTGTGTTCAAAAAAAAAAAAAACCACTGTCACTTTATTATTATGTTTAATTATTTACAATATTCTTCCAATAAATATGTTTCCATTTCATTTTTGTAATTAACTTTTTCCAAATTTTAATATAGTCTTAGTGGGTGTTATTGGTTTATGTATTTTAATAGATTTATAAATCTAAACAAATTCAGTGTTATTGGTTCCATGATTTTAAAATCCAAGTTAAAATCAAGTGTTATTGGTTCCATGATTTATAAATTCTAATTCAAATCAAGTGTTATTCAATCATACGGATTCATTAATGGATTTGATGTTATAATGAATTTGTGTGGATTTGTGTGGATTTCTTTGTTGAAAATACAAGGACTAAAATCCGAAGGAAAACCCTCGGATTTGTAAGTACTTATTAAAATTCACATATTAGATTTGAAAATCAGTATATTTTGCTAAGATTTATAAATTCTATACACTAATTTGTTTTCTATTGATTATTTCTAGATTTTTTTTGGCAGCTAACAATGATGTACGTAGAAGAAGATGAGAGCTTACAATCAAAGTTCATTGCCTGAATCAACCAACTTAAGCCCTGTGAGCCGATCCTCACAAGGCCTAACAAAGCGTGTGATCTTCACCGTCTTAGCTTGACACCCATATAACGGAGCTCTAAGGAAACATGGCTCCATCGATATGAATCCCAAGTGTCTCGTCTGCTTTTGATAAGTAAGTATTGTAGGATCTAGTGATCATACCCCAAACTTGGTTTGTAGGGTGAAAAAGATAGCGACCTAGATGGTGGAAGACAGTGTCTTTCTCTGGGAATAGCTTGCTTAGTTCGGTTTGGTGACTAGGTATCAACCATAGAGATGGAATAAAGTAAAGGTTTGCGTTGAAGATCAACCAAGGGACTTGTGTGATGAGGTTTTGATCTCTTTCACAGAAGAACATCTTGTCATGATCATCATAATCATGAATAAGATAAAGACATAGGTAGGGAGGGACTGTTGTATTCCACTTAATGGTATGATTCTTCAACATTGTTCCATAACAACGTGAACTTTCTTTGTTGAAGCTGTTTAACTGATCTGTCAATGGAAAATCCAGAGGGAGTAACCAGGAAGTACCAGGAAAAGGCTCACAGAAGAGATGGCTTATGTTGGTGCGTTGGTCAACAAGAATGATTCTCTCAGTCAAGAGGGCATAGAGGAAGAGAGAAGAAAGAGTAAGTATTCTGTTTCCAAGTCCAATAAACAGCAATCCACACAATGTATCTGCATTCACCAACGGAACTGCTCACGTTCTGATCATGACCATGAAGATTCTTTGTTGCTTCCTTGTAAGCCTTTGTCCCTGGACCGCAACGCTTGTGAAGCATCTCATAGCTTCTGAGCTTAGAGAGAAGATACTGAGAAGGCTTGTGAGGTGATGGCTTGCGGTACAAGGAAAAGTGGTATCTACTTAAGCAAGATTCTTCATCAAACTCTTCAGTAAGCAGCCCTCCTAATAGTTTATCCCTTGGCTTTCCGGAGTCCTTTGGACCTATAAAAGAAAAGTCAATTAACAAAAAAACCAAAAAGATGAATGAGTTTTACCATTGATTGTAGGCTGATGGATAAAGGCGAATAACGATAGTAACATCAACGATGAAAGAATGGTACCTACTTAAGCAAGATTCTTCATCAAATTCTTCAGTAACCAGCCCTCCTAATAGTGTATCCCTTGGTCTTATTGAATCATTTGGACCTATAAAAGAAAAGTCAAAGAAGCTTTCTTAATTTAAGAAAACCAAAAAGATGAATGAGTTTACCGTTGATTGTAGCATCAAGAAGCCGATGGTTAAAGGTGAATAATGATAGTGACATCAACGATAAAAGTAGTAAGCAAATGACAACTGTTGTCATTAGCTTCATCTTCAAATCTAGAGCTCAGAAACTTGGCCAGAGATCTGAAATAGGTCAAAAGAGTTCAAGTGTGTCTACAAGATTAATTCTAATTTCGCTAGAAGAAACTTGTACTTTTTATAAATTTGATGATAAATGTGAGTAGGGCTGTCACGGTAGGTGACTGTGAAGCTTTGTGTCTCTTTGTTGGTACAATCACAGTCTCGTCCTTTACCTACCTTTTTAATGATGGAAGGGACCGGGCTCATCCTCTAAAACTTGAACCACAAGTCTCTTATCCACAGTTGATAACTAAGGATGGTAGAATAAAATACTAAACCTTCGACTTGTTACCTAACTTAGACCGTTCCTAAGAAAGGGTTCTTTAAAAAAAACCAAAAAAAAAATTTAAATAGAAGTTTTAGAATTAGTAAAAACTCCTAACATGTCATTTTCTTATTGGTTCCTTTTGTGTGTGTCTTTCTCTCTTCTTTGTTTTTTCTTTCTCTTTTTCTCTCTAAAGAACCCATCATTAGACATGACAAAATAATACATCAATAATTGAAAGCGGATTTGTTTGAGAATATATGACAAAAATTCGGAACAAATCATGATTTAAATTAATGGGTTTTTCTCGTTTACGATTTGTATTTGTATTTTTAATATGTTGTTATGTCATTTTTAATAAAATTGTTTGTATCTTTTTCTTTCAAATCATTCAATTTAAAAAAAAAAAATTTTAAGAACTTCAATGAGGTTTTTCTAATGGAGGATGAAAAAAAATAAATAGATTAACAAAAATTCTAAAGTTATCAAATCACAAAAATAACAACTAATTTAATCTTAAAAAAATCCATTAGTCTCTAATGGATTTAGATGGTCTTAGGACATATTTATTAGGAATTCTTAAAATAATTATTTTTTTATGATTTGACACTTTTTCATTTAAAAAAAAAAATATTAGCTAACAGTTGGCTCTTAAATATTTTATTTAAGAGCTGGTTATTAGATTTTTTTTAAGAGCCAATTATTCACTATTCTTAAAATTAAAAACTAAGAAACGTATCTTAACTAAAACTAAAAACTCCACTTAAGAAATCTCACAATAAACATAGCCTTAAGAAATTTCCACACTTTTCCATAAAACAATGGAGGAGTTGGTTTTAATATTTTTTTCGTTTTTTTTTTGGCAGAATCTCAAATAATTTGGTTGAACTATAATTTTGAAAATTTTCTTTGAGAAGATAATATATAAATACAATACTAATTTTCTATAAACCTTTCATAAATATTCCAAAATATTTATTTTAACAATTTTAAATACAACTAAAAAAATAAAATATACCACCATTTCATTATTTCTCTTTCTCAAAGTCTCAAATCTCAATCATACATTTCCCTCGAGAATGATTAGAAAGTGGAGAAATGTTGAGTGCACACACACGCACAGAGAGACAAAGTACCACATGGATGTGTGTGTGTTTGCTCTGCAATAAATGAAGGACATCGAAAGAACATGAATTTTCTTAATGTTTTTTTTTTTTATCCAAGTACGAATTTTCTTAATGTTTTGAATTATTTTAGCAATAGCAGGCTCGAAACTTCAGGGCTATTTTCAGATGGTAAAATTCTTAAACGCTTATCATATATTTATCTTAGAAAAGCTCACTTAGAGACACAGTTAGTTATACGCACTGTAAACAGAGTCCTCTGTTCATCATTTGACTAGAAGTTTGAGATCTGCGTGGGCGTAATGCGGATGTGTGCTCAGCAGTAGCGATCCTGAGTTGTAAAGGACCAGAAGCTATTTAAAAAAAAAAGGCTGAAAATTGACACTGCATGTTTCGAACAGGGTTGCTGTGGTTCAATCTCACTATTGATACCACTAGACTAAAGAGATATTTAGGAGCCCATGCTTCTGTTGCTTTCTATCAGGGCCGGGCCTGGTGCTCAGTTCATGTAAATACACTTATTCATACAGTAATACAAGATCTTCATACCTTCACTTCTTAAGAACGAAACAGGAAGAGCAAGGAACAGAAAAATACAATGACATGACTACAGCTTTTACTCTGCTTGAGAACAAAGGAGCCATAAAGGTAAAAACTTTGTTTATAAGTATCACCAAAACAACAGGTTCTCTGTTGTATAATACAATGTCTCTCTATGCCTTATCATATTGATAGATAGAATACAAAAATGTAAGAATCTTCTATTAAACATTTAAATGATTATTAATAGACAAGAATCAAAAGATAGATAATCACTGATCCTCTGTTTCAGTAATTCCAAATAATCCAATGAAATAAGCTAAAAAAAGATAAACAAGAAGTACTACTACAACTCATCAAACAGCTTGAGCCCATCATTATCACGATCCTCACAATGCTTTACAAACGGAAGAACCTTCCCTGAGTCAGTTCCCCAATCAGCACCACACCCATGAGACGGTGAAGTAAGATGACAAGGCTCAATAGACGTGGATCGAACACAAGGCGGATCAGGAACTGATTTATCCATCGGCTGATACATTAACCACGGCTTTAACCCTCCAAGACTATGAGCAACGTACCCGAACGTGGACCTTGCACTCGTGACAACTTTATCGTTTAAACTCAGAAGATACATCTCCGTTAAAGCCTTTTGGTCGTGTATCTTCTTGTCTGTTTGTTGATACCTTTCTCCACTTGGTTGATAAACTTTGATTGTTTCTCCTTTTTGCTTCGAAAACATGTTCCTCAAATGATCAGAGTACTCTGGATATAGAGATGTGACAAGAACAGCTTTAACTTTCTGACTTTGAGTGACATTAACCTCTTGTGTAACCACTTGAGGTAATAGCTTCTCTCTTTGCGTACATGACAAGACCTGACCCATGACGTTTTTTAAATATCCCGCGTCGCCGCTGAAAACACGTATTTGAATCCCGAGTCTCTCGTCAGCTCTAGCTAAGTGAGCCTTGTAGTACTTTGTGATCATACCCCAAACATCATTCGTCGGGTGGTAAAGATACTTAGCCAGGAGATGAAACACTGCTTCTTTCTGCGGGAATAGCTTCACCAGTTCGGTTTGAAAACTTGGATTAAACCATAAGGATGGAACAAAGTAGACATTCGCTTTAACAATCAACCAAGGGACTTTATCGATCAGAGTTTGATCCTTGGGGCAGAAGAACATCTTGTCTTCATCTCTTGAGTCATGTAAGATGTGAAGATAGAGATGAGGAGGAGTTGAGTTTGTACTAATGGCATGATTGTTCAACATTGTTCCGTAGCAACGAGAGTATTCTTTATTGTATCCATCGATCTGTCTCGTTAATGGGAAGTCACGAGGGAGTAACCATGAAGTACCTGGAAACGGCTCGCAGAAGAGATCACTTATGTCTTTGCTTTGATCAACAAGAACGACTCTATCCGTCAAGAGAGCGTAGAGGAAGACAGATGCGAGAGTTAGTATCCTGTTTCCAAGACCGTAGACAGCGACCCACACAATGTATTTGCATTCATCGACGGTTTTGTTTGCGTAGTTCTTGTTGTCATCATGACCATGAAGAAGATTCTTTGTTGCTTCCTTGTAAGCTTGTGTGCCTGGACCGCAACGCTTGTGGAGCTTCTCATAGCTTCTTAGCTTGGAGATTAGGTATTCAGATGGGTTGTATGGAGATGGCTTGCGGTACAAGGATGATTTATAGTATCTACTCACGCAAGAACGTTCATCGAAATCTGATGTTAATAGTCCTCCTATCAACTTATCTTGGGGTGTTTTGGATTCCTTGGAACCTATTTAATCACAAGAAAAATGAAAATATTAAGTTCAAGAAAAAAAAATATTCAAAAGATTAATGGTTTTCTTGTGTGTATATATACCGTTGATTGTAGCATAAAGAAGTTGGTCGTTGAAGTTGTCTGAGGATGATAGTAAGAAGACAGAACCAATGAGTACACCAGTAAAGATGAATGTTATCATAAACTTCATCTTCAACCCCAAAGACTTGATTACATCGCCGGAGATCTGAAACATGTGATTCATGTTGACTTTAGTTTGATTGGTTATGGTCAGAAGATGATTCAAAAAAGAGTTATATATATCTAACGTCTACAACTCTTATTAGTGATCCAAAGTGGACGAAGCATGATATTTATTAAAAAAAAGGTTTGAATATTCTAATGTGTCATTGTTATGTTGTGCCCATCAACGAACCCCGAACGTGACTCAAGTTTTGTTTAAAGCATATAAAAGTCTTTATATTCGATCTATAGAATCCATCAAGTTGTATTGTGGATTTAACAAACAAGGAAATGGCCAATGAAAGAGCTGTTTTGAATAATCTACAAGAGCTGTAATTTTGAAAAACTTGGAATTTATACAATACATCACATGTCATGTATTATTATGATCTTGATCTTTTCTGTAATCATGTATTATTGTTGAATTGACAAATCATATTCATTTACTTATTCAACTAATAATAATCTTTTGCTCAGATGCGAAAGTTAGCGTTGTTGACTGAGAATATAAAAAAGTAAACAAATTGAATTGGCAAAAACGAGCTTCCTAGAATGGCCTAACTTGAGCCTTCATATCAATTCATAAGACCATACTTTTTTTCTTAATGCTTTTATCATTTGACAACTTGTACTTCAAAAGAAATCCCTATTTTAAAATGATGACTTCTGTATAGTATTTGAAGAGAAAACTTAGCGCAACTACCACAGAATAAATCTTAATAAAAAGAACTAATTATACTTCTATTTTTTATTTGTTACTCGGTGATGAAAACTCACTGCATGTACTATGTGAAACTTGTAAAAACTTCTATGTTGATTTTAAACTAGATTTCGTTCTCTGAAAAGAAACTACCCCTAATACCAAAATAAATAATTTCTAAGAAAAACGGCATTCAGCAGAGTCGTTACTCTGTTTCCAACGGTTTAAAACAGAAAATCTGAAGTAGTCAGTTTATTACAATACCTGCCACTGGGCGTTTAACAACTAGGCCCAAAATTAATAGATACAAGCCTAGCCCTTCACTCCATTTAACCAATCAAAATCAACAATTAACCAGCCTCAAAACTAATGCTATCACTTAATATATTATCTAGGGCTGTTCAATATGGTGATACCGAACCGTACCGAACCGAACCGAACCGAACCGAAATAGACAATATGGTTTGGATTTGGTATATACCATATAAACCGAATGGATATGATTTTATAAAAACCGTAGGATTTGGATATGGTTAGGTTTATAACCGATTAAAGCGAATAAACCGAACAAAACCGATCAAAGAAAAAATATATAAATATATACATTATATAACCATTATTTTCTTGGAATAATCTTTTTATTTTTATTTTTTTATACCTTGTGAAAATATATCTTAATAATTTTATTTTATTTTCTTAGACTATTATCTAAATTTGATTTGATTTTACATGTTGTAAGAAATTGTGAAATTAGATTGTACCATGTAATTTATTTGGAAGAACAAAGAGAAAATAAGAAAAGCTATACAAACTGAATCGTTGATCGTTTTGTTTGTTGTTAATTTCACATTTTTATATTTATGAACACCTAGTTATTTTAATAAATGATAGTTTTGACAATATGTTTTTAAAAAAAATTCATATAATATGAAACCAAATCAAATAATAATGTTATTTGGTATAAAACTGAATAAACCGAAAACCGGTAGTATAAATACCGAACCAAACCAAATTAAATATGGTTGCAATATGGTAGCTAATTTTTATAAACCGAATAACCGAAAACCAAAAAAAACCGAACCGAAACCGGACCGAACACCAGATTGAACATGCCTAAATTATTATCACTTACAAAAAAGTTTAATATATTTACATAAGATTCAATAAAAAAAAAATTAGTATTGGGACCTCTGAACTGATTTTCTTAAACGTGTTTTAGATATAAATATAGTAATTATTTATTGAATGCGAGATTAAATATGAACATACAACAAATATAAACGTATAAATATTCGTAACGTACGTACCTTTATGAATTGATCATATGTTGTTGGTTGAATTGATCTTTGATAATATGACTGTGCTCCAGCGTATAATACAGATGGGTGTTTGGAATCCATAATGTTCATCAAATAACTAACAAATAGAAAAGGAATATTTTCAAAAAGAAAATGTGCTTTTATTGAAAACACACATATAACTTAGTAAACAATGATGAAGACAGTAAATCACGTGTTTAGTCAAAAACTTTTTAAAAAGTAATAATCAAGAAAAACCAAGACAAAAGAAAGAACTGAGAAGTTTTGGTTTAAACGGAGAGGGAGAGCTTAAACTGAAACGTTCTTATATATACACGTAACGTATAGATGTTAATTAGATCTCAATATGCTGTCGAAAAGGAGAAAGATCCCAATTTGCTAAAAGAATGTTACTATATTTTAATAACGTAGATTAACAACGACTAAGGTAATATTGACTACAATTACAACAAAAAGGTAATGTTGACTATTTTCTAGGAAGAACGTAATATGCTTATTTCCATATTAATTTACACGATAACATGGGTCAATAGTCACTAATTAGTATATCTATACCTATCGATTTCCATGGATATTTGTGTTAGTATATATACACGATAACTGGGTCAATAGTCACTAGTTAGTATATACATATATATCGATTTCCATGGAGACCTTAATGGTTTAAACTAGAATTGGAATCAAAATGTAGATTTAATGTTGTGATGTGTATTGACTATAGACTATTTTTATATACGACTTATCCGTTTTTCTTAGTATATCCAATATTCCTGCAATATGTATGTAGGTAAACGAGAAATTAGGGGATATATTGTCATATAATCGCGTCAAATAAGCGTAAACTCTAAATCAAAGATAAATCAATCATTACAATCATAGAAGAAAACAAATAGTATCCCGATGATTCATGGGACTTTCCTGATTAGACTTTGATCCTCTCCGCAGAAGCATCTTAGTAAAATCCACATGACCACGGAGAAAAGATGATTGTAGTGGAGTGAAGTTAATATGATTCTTCTTTTGTAGTGGAATACATTTAACAAACTTTCCTCTGTTTTGTTTACTTTACATACAATCAATCAATATTCATAGAAACTCTGTTTCAAGGGAACAATATCTATAACTCATCTTTGGTATCATCAAATAGTTTAACACCTTCATGCCAAAGATCCTCACAATGTCTCACAAAAGGAAAGATTGTCGCCAAGTCAATTCTCTTTCTGGTCTCACATCCATGACTCGGAGAAGTAAGGTAACAAGGCTCCATGGATACAGCACGAACACATGGTGGATCAGGAGTTCTGCCTCTCACTGGCCGATAGAGTAACCACGGCTTTAACCCTCCAAGACTATGAGCAACGTATCCAAATGTAGACCCTGCGCTTGTGACAATGTTATCAGTCAAACTCAAAAGATACATCTCAGCAAGGGCCTTCTGGTCGTGAAGCTTCTTGTCTGTTTGCTGAAACCTTTCTCCACTTGGCTGATAAACTTGTACAACGTCTCCTGTCGAAGTCGGTCTTTCCCAATACATATCCTTTAGGTTATTGGAGTACTCTGGATACAGAGATGTGACAAGAACAGCGTTAAGTTTCTTGCTTCTTGATGCGTTAGTGAGCGGTGTAGCCAGTTCAGGCAACAGTCTCTCTCTTTGTGTACATGCCACGATCTGGTCCATCACGTGCCGGAAATATCCAGCTCGTCTGCTGAAAACGCGTACTTGGATCCCTAGTGTTTGGTCTGCTCTTGATAAGTAAGCATCGTAGGATCTTGTGACCATACCCCAAACTTGATTCGTCGGGTGGAAAAGATACCGAGCCAGGTGGTAGAAGACGGTTTCTTTCTGCGGGAAGAGCTTCACCAGTTCGGTCCGGAAACTTGGATTAAACCATAGAGATGGAACAAAGTAGACATTGGCTTTGACAATCAACCATGGGACTTTATCGATCAAGGCTTGATCCTTTGGACAGAAGAACATCTTGTCTTCATCCCTTGAATCATGTAGAATGTGAAGATACATATGTTGTGGTATTAGAGTCGAGTTAATGGCATGATTATTCAACATTGTTCCGTAACAACGAAGGTATTCTTTATTGTATCCATCGATCTGCCTCGTTAATGGGAAGTCACGAGGAAGTAACCATGAAGTACCTGGAAACGGCTCGCAGAAGAGATCACTAGTGTCTTTGCTTTGATCAACAAGAACGACTCTATCCGTCAAGAGAGCATAGAGGAAGACAGATGCAAGAGTTAGCATTCTGTTTCCAAGACCGTAGACCGCTACCCACACAATGTATTTGCATTCACCAACGGTTTTGTTTGCATAGTTCTTGTTGTCATCATGACCATGAAGATTCTTTGTTGCTTCCTTGTAAGCGTGTGTGCCTGGACCGCAACGCTTGTGGACCATCTCATAACTTCTTAGCTTAGAGACTAGATATTCAGAAGGCTTGTATGGAGATGACTTGCGATACAAGGAAGACTGATACCGACTCAAGCAAGAATCCTCATCAAAGTCAGCGGTTAAAAGCCCTCCTAACAGTTTATCCTTAGGTTCTTTTAAATCCACTATTACAACAAAAAAAAATTAGTTAAGTCCAAGGAATCATTCTGAAATAAGAAATCCAAAAGATAAAATTAAATTGCCATATACCATTGACTGTAGCGCCAAGAAGCTGGTGTCTGAAGACGTCTGAGAATGTTACCAACATCACCGAACAGAGTACTAAACAAGTGAAGACTGTTATCATGAGCTTCATCATCATGCTCAAACCCCACAAAGACTTCATTGGAGATTTGAATAGTTGATGATACATACTGACATTTCAATGGACTTTTAGTATCAATTGTTATTATGAGTTATCAAAGAGTTTAAAACTCTTGTTGTGAGTTATTTCAGAGAAACTTGTACGTTTCTAAATATTTTTTAATGTGTTCTGCTGTGAAAATCGACAAAACTGTGATTACAAGATTTACTTCATTACTTGTTACAATAAAACTTGTGGAAATCCCTACAATACATTTTTTTTCCTTTTTTTTCAATTCAATCGACTCGCAAACCGTCTAAATGAGAGGGCAAAGGTATAACATAATTCTAGCAAAATTGTAACTACCACCATGCAATACAATGAGATAACATTGTTGCGTAAAGTTATAATTTTTTTTTTGTTACTTGTATGAAGATGATACCAATTTTGTTGATCATCATCAAAACCTAGGGCTGAAAATATAATCATCTTAAACTAAAAACACTTTATTATTCTGTTATAATTTTTTTTTTATAAAAGTAAATGTAAATATGATCTATCGACCAATGCGAATAAGACTAAAATACGAAAAAAAAAATCGGTGGTGATTGCATGGTCACTAAACAATGACTTTGAATTTTCAGTAAAATTAATACGGAGCCGAGAGCAAGCATAGATGGTCCATTAACCTTGGACGATCAGCATATTAGAGCAAAATTATAATGAAAAAAAAAGTTGGAAAATTGAAATAAATGAGGAAGATTTTGACTTTTTTTTTTTTTTATAAAAAGGGGGTTTTGAGGGGTTTTAACTTTTAAAGTAGAAGCTGCGTTGGTGGCCACATCTTCTCTTGTACGAGTCAGCGGCGGAGCCTTCAAAACCCCTCACCAAATCGATTCAAATTCTACGATCACTGAGAGTGTAACATGGTGATGACGTCATCTTCGGATCCGAAAACAGAGAATGCAACCGATTCCAAGCCTCTAATCAACAACGAAACTCCATCAGAGAAACTTGGAGACTCGTCCCCGGAGCTCGGAGACTCGAACTCCTCGGAGAAACTCGGAGATTCCTCAACCGTTTGGGTAGATCCAGCAGAATCTGGTCAAGAAAAGGAAGAGGAAGAGGAAGGAGGGTGCGGGTTTTGCGTGTTCATGAAAGAAGGCGGTTGCAGAGAATCGTTCACGGCTTGGGAAGTATGCTTGGAGGAAGCTGAGAAGAACAAGGAAGATTTCGTCACCAAGTGTATGGAAATCGATGGTTTGTTGCATAAATGTATGGAGGCTCATTCTGATTATTACCACCCGATTCTCGCCGCGGAGAAAGCTGCTGCGGAGCAGTTCAAGAAGGAGTTTGAAGCTGAGAAGAACAAGGTTGAAGGAAAAGAAGAAGAGGAGATCTCTGAAGAGGAAGTGCTTGCTATGAAGCAAGCTCAGGGTTAGGTGAATTTTTAATTGGTCAAGGGATTATCAATATTGGATTTGGGGATATAAAATTTACATGTTGTTTCGTTGATGGATTGTGATAATTTGATCTAAAGGTTTTTACTTTGTTAATGCCCATTAATATTTCAGACAAGAACTCTGGTTCTTTTGTGGGTTTATTAAGCTATTTTCCTCATTTGAATGTGGTTTGGTGCCTGATGAAACAGTCAAGGTCTCTGATCTTTTGGTTTAGTAATTAGTTCTTGTTCCAGCAATTTTTCTAGGTTGTCTGAAGATCAAGTTGAAATAGTTACTTGTTTTCAGTTCGATATCTCTGAGATGCAGTGTTGTTACCCTTCCATGGTTCTCCCGGTATTGTTAGGTTTCTCTTTATAAAGAGATGAAAATTTACACAACTCCGTAGCTGTTATCAGCCTCCATGGAATGATTATTTTGTTGATGTTAATGTGTTAGCCGTCTAGAATGACTGACAGTTTCTTTTGCTCTGAATTTTCTTTGATTTGAATGAGAGAATTCAAAGGCCAGCATTGGCTCTGTTTTACCTCTGTTAGTATGTTTGGGATCGACAAAGTCTTGTTCAACCAAATTTTAACGAGGATCAAAGTCGGTCCAAATCAGATTAGAGCAGAAAGAGTCTCCTCATACAAATCTAGTTTGAAAACTCATCTCATTCTCTCTCTATCTTTTCTATATTTCATGATTTTCTTGTTATTATAATACGATTTCCTGCAAACTAGTGTCAGAGTCGTTTCAAAAGTAAGACGTAAAAGGACAAATTGAATAGAAAGAAAATAATCAGATGCAACTGAAATGAATAGTTTGAACTTTGACTAATAGTCTTAATACTATTGTGTGTTTACACGATTTACAAGAAGACTGTGTAAACAATTTGATGGGGGTAAAGATTAAACTCAGTCTTCTGAAACTCTAGTCGTCTTCATCTTCATCGTAGTTGAATGGTAATGGAACAGACTTGAAGGCTCTGTATTTCCCAACATTGTTCAAATGCTCATTTTCTAATCTGTTTCCCACAAAAAAAAAAAAAACAGAGAGTTACTAACACAATCTGTAGAATCAGTGAGATATGAGTTTTGAAGTATTATTCCAACCTGAAGAAATTCCATATACCACGACGAATAATCTCAAGACTAGCAACAATGGTAACCATCGTCTGTCTATGCATGAAGGAGAATTTGAAATCCAGAACCGTCTGGATCCATGCAAATCTCAGCAGGACATTCAAAACCTGAATACATGTCCTATAAACATCAGTTGCTATGTAACATGTTTTGATGGTATGAATATTAAGACTCTCACCATCGCGATGAAGTATATTTTCTTTTGAGGTATGAGGAGTTTGTCTCTAAGCCACCGGTTCTTCGATGTTCGGTTTAGAAGACCCCAATCATGAACAAAGTCCCAGTAAGTAGAAAATATTGCTGCTACAGCTGAGGAGATTGCTGCTACGACCTTCCAAGCGATATCATGTTTATGGAAACTGTAAGCAGTTCTCACGCAAACGGCTACTATAGTTAAGAAGTACTTGAGTCCATTGTACCCTTGCTCCGGATTTTTCTCCTCAAACAGCCGTCGCAGGCACTACATTTTGAGTGTAAGTTTAGTTAATGAATGAATTCTAGTTGGATTTTTCTTTTGGTGAGAAGAAGCTTATGTACCTGAAGGAGGCGAGAGACATAAGGGAGGACAGCAACTATGAACAAGAAACTGTTGTACACACTAGTGTTACAAGTGTTGATTCTGTGTCTGAAGTCTCCCCAACCATAGTAACAAACGTAGAACTCGATGCTTCTAAGAGCTTGAACTTGACTAGTAAACTGATCCGCCAAGAAGAAATCAGGCAATGTTACCTGCAGGAGAAGTGACCGGTTCAAGTCATATTATTATAGTAATTCACAACCATCATATTAGAGCTGTGGTTTACCTTGTAAAGAGGAGCGGCGAGGCAATGAAACACACAAGTGAGGAAGAAAAAGCGACTTGACCGGTAAAAGAAGTTGAATGGCAGAACTAGAACCACAAACATAACCTGCAAAAGTGGAAAAACAAACATTAAAGAGTTGTTATTATGTCATTGTCTTTACTACAAGACTCTAAGGGGGTTTAGAACTTACAATAAGTAGAAAAAGAGGAAGAAGTTCAGTAAATGTTTGATAGCCTTTGGTTTTGGGATCTGCCTCCATGTCAAGATTGGCAAGAACACAAAGCAATGCAAAGACTCCAATGGTGAAACCCACAAATAGGACTTGTCTGTATCCAAGTTCAGTTCCTTGCTTGAACCCAAATATGAAGGAATAGTTTACTTTATATCGCCTCCAGTAGTATATATTAGCAGCATACATTATTATGTGTAGAACAATAAACCCGAACAAGCTGCATGAAACATTAGAGAAGACAACATCTAAGCAAACTCGGATGCTCGAAAGAACAGTAATACTACTAACTTGTTACCTATAAAGTGGAAACATAGTATTCATGTACTGCTTCTGGCCATCTTCCTGTAAGAGATTTCGGGTGCGGATGATAGCGATAAGAGCTACTATAAGAGAGAAAACACATCCAGCCGAGAAACCTGAAAACAGTATTCTCTCATAAGCACCACACACAAAGTTTGAACTTCAAAATCAAATGATGCAATATTCTGATTTTACCAGTGGAGAATGTAAGTATGTGTCTCTCTTTTTTCGCTTTAGGCCGTAAAATGTTCATTCCTTTGGTTCGATTAGCATTTGCAAAATGCTTTATGAATGTTGCTTCAACACGTTCCATGAGTCGCACAACCTGTCATAACAGAGAAGATCAATACCGAGAGACTTAAAAACAGAGGACTTGAGAATATAAGTAAACCTCTTACTTCATCAGAGCTTCCGAGGTATGAACTATCAACCATTTTCATATAATGCCTCGTTGCGTCCCTTGAAGCTATCTATAAAACACCATTTCAGTTATATAATACTGAAACCTTTCAAGAACCCAAATTAAAGTCTCAAATCTTACCTTATCATACTTCTTCAATACCTTCGAGAAAGCCAATACATTCAAGAAGCTGCATATACATAATTCAAAAGCCATCAATTACAGTAGAACCTATATAAATTAATACTCGATAAATTAATATACACTAAATATCTCTATAAAATACTATAATTTTATAGTCTCAAATTAAGTTTTTGGTTTCATTAGTATATCGATAAATTAAAATCTTTCTAAATTAATTAAAAAAAAAATTTTGGTGTAGTCCCAACATTATTAATTTATAGAAGTTTCACGGTATAAAGAATGATCTCAATCCTATAAATAAACACCATATATGCACCTGTAACTCTTGAGAAGTCTCAGCTTCTGATAAAACACGATGAAGGCATGCCTCAGCTTCTCCTCGACTTTCATCAGATTCTCTCTGCTGAACTTTAACTCAGTCTGTTTCGGTACCTGGAGAACTCTTTTGATGGTGGAACGAGGCGTCTCTTTGGTGTTGTTGATACTCACTCGATCAAGAATATCTAACGGAGCTGGTCTCACTGCTCTCATCCTGGTCGTCTTCACTTCACTGACTGATTCTCTGGCTGCATTTTCTTCTGCTTCTTCATCTTCTAATTGCCCAGCTCTGCTTGACCCTCCTTCCTGTATTGCCTCCATATGAGCTTGACTTCGAACTTTCACTACAAATTTGAATGTCGGTCAGGTGACAATACGAATTTAATGAACCGGATGTTGTGGTTTACGCTGACTGGTACAATACAAACCGGATGTTGTGGTTTACGCTGACTGGTACAATACAAAACTAAGACCATCCACAATAGTGTTATTCCTTTGGAGTCCTTAGGAAAAATGTTTTTTGAATTTTTAATTTTTTTTTTCAGATTAAAAAAAGAAATATCAACAAATCACAGGTAAGTGTAAGGATTCACTAAAAAGAATCCTTACATAAAGATTTTTTTGGACAAAATTCTTAACTTTTAATGGGATCCACTAATTATTCAATTATTTTGTTCCAAACGATTTCCCGCTAAGTACTGTCATTGCGGATGTTCTAAGAGTAAAGTTATACTCTCCTTATGTTTCATTTTCTTCACATATTAAAAAACCATAAATAATATGTTTTTATCTCTAACTAATATTTTGTTTTATTTAGACTTGATAATTAATGAAAAAAAAACAGAAAATAAAATTTGATAAATAAATGCATTAAAATATAAACGGCGCTAAAAAAAATCAAAATGATTTTTAATAGAAAATAAGTAATTAAATACTCCAAATATTGAATTAGCAAAATTCAATTTATCAAATAATACTTTGATTACTTTTCAAATCGGGAAACTAAAATATTGAATATTGAATCAATTCAATCCCGGTTTTGTGGCAGAAAGTAAATTGGGACGAAACTAAAATAACCCGGTTTAGTACTGTCAGATTTGATGTAACCGGACATATAAAGATTAATTTTTTGTCGTTTTCTGTCGGAAAGTGAGAGTGAGTTGGTGGAATAGTAGAAAGTGTTGTGTATGATTTGCTTACTGGATTTAGCTCCGGCGGGAGTAGAAGCCGAGATAGCCGCCGCGGAAGTAGCTATATCCGAAGCCAACCGAGTGATCTCCACCGTCCGTTCATCCCATCCCCACCCTTCAGGATTCTCAACTTTGACACGAAACGCTATCAAAGCGTCCATCTGTTTATTAAGCACCACCGCTTCTTTCAACACTTCTTCCACTTTCTCTTTATAAAACTTATTCACTTTGTTGAACTCGTCGTCTAGTCTCCGGAAAAACACCAGCTCGTACTCTCCTCCTTCCTCAGCCGCCATCAGAAACGTCGTCTCGCAACCGCGATCTACACTTGTGTTCACTAGAATCGGAGCCGACGTCGTCGTTGACGACCTCGTTAATTGTACCCCTTCCTCCACGTCGTTAGAGTTACCGTGTCTCTGTCTTCTTGAAGTTGAGAGTAAGCCGCTAAACGCGCGGTGAAGAGTCATATTCCGGTTTAATCCTCCACCGTTGTGGTGATTCTTGGCGCCACCACGAGGAGCTGCATTGTTGGTTCTGTGTTTGAACCGGATGATTTCTTTGAGGAGAGTTTTGAGAAAATCGTAATCCATGTAAGCTTGTTGCCACTCTGGCACCATTTGAGACGAGAACTCCTTCCCGAACTTCATTTCGATTTGGATTCTTGTGTAGTTATATATGTGTTATGTTTCTCTGATGAGGACCAGAGGACTCGTGTTCGTTTTATATATAGTACACCTAGGTGAAGGAGAGAGACTGAGACAACGAGAGTCGTTCTGATTAATTTAACATTTGTATAGTTTAATAATTATATTAATATCATCGTGACTAAAAATAATAAAAATAATAACTTTAATTATATGATTAAAGAAGTTTTATCATAATAAGAGTGCTTCAACTTTATTACTTTTCATCATCTTTATTGAATTCTTTTGTTAACGTGTTTTCAATCAGGGCAACTAGAGCGCGTGAGGAATTATATGTTCATATTTAGGTAAATATGTTTTAATTTTTACCATTAGTGTGATTTGTGCATTTAAGTTTTCATGAATGCGAAACCGAGAATTTCGTTTAACAAGTTTTTCTTACAGTATAATTGCATCATCGTATTTCTGGTTCAAAAACCACGTTCATCTTGAAAAACTAGCTCAAAATGTTTGAAATATACCAGATTTTAACTTATCTATTAATCAGTATTATTGTCTATATATTTCTAGATTCGGAAGTGGACGACCGTAGTCTCATTGTTTCAAGACCCATATCATATGGCGGCTCGACGTCAATGGTTATTGTCATTTCAAAAGCAGAGAACCAAATTCAGTAAGTCGTTGATGAAAATGATTACATGCAAATAATTCATTGTGGAACATCGAACATATCTCATTATTTAATAATTAATATATAACACTGTAGAAACAATGGGATTTGTTGAACCATATAAGTTGAAGATTTCTAACGTGGACTATTAATTAGCATACGATTTGATCGTTAAAGATTCGAGTTTCATCTACCATTCAAACACGTATATGTTCATGGGAAATAGTTCTTGAATAAAATTTAGAAAAGAGTACTACTCCAGAGTCCAGTTGAGTAGTAACGCAGTTAATTTATATGTTTAATGGTAATAAAAAATATTGAAAGGCTAATGGACACAATAATTAGTAGTTTTTTTTTACAATAATTAGTAGTTAATCTTAATAAAAAATGCTTTATTGATCCCCACTTTGACTATCTCTATTAATTGACCATTCAAACATGTATATGTTCATGGGAAAAAGTAATAAAGTAAAATTGAAATTTTATGAATTTTGTTGACTAATTCTATTCCACCCATAGTATTGTGTGGGTTATGTGAACCACCGCGAACAATGATCTCAAGACTAACGCTGATGCATCCCAACATTTTTCTTAACGATATGTAAACAGTTTCATGGACTTTGGTGGCTAAAGAGTATACTCACGGTCATCAAAAACTCTAATCATCTTTCTCTTCATCTTCATCGTAGTTGAATGGTAATGGAACAGACTTGAATGCTCTGTATTTCCCAACATTGTTCAAATGCTCGTTCTCTAATCTATTTTCCACAAACCAGACCAAGAAACAAAACAAAAAAAAAGTCACTAAAGACAGAGCATAACCTGTGGAGTGGAGTCAGTGATATGAGTTGAGTTTCTTTTTGTTTACCTAAAAAAGTTCCATATACCACGACGAATGATCTCAAGACTAGCAACAACGGTAATCATCGTCTCCCTATGCATGAAGGAGAATTTGAAATCCAGAACCGTTTGGATCCACGCAAATCTCAGCAAGACATTCAAAATCTGATACATGTTCTTAAACATCAATGAAACATGTTATGAAATGGATATGTTTTTTTATGGTTTTGAGGCTTACCATTGCGATAAAGTATACTTTCTTTTGAGGTATGAGAAGTTTATCCCGAAGCCAGCGGTTTTTGGATCTCCGGTTTAGAAGACCCCAATCATGAATAAAGTCCCAGTAAGTAGAGAATATTGCAGCTATAACTGAGAAGATAGCAGCTAAGACCCTCCAAGCAACTTGATGTTTCTGGATACTGTAAGCAGTTCTCAAACAAACCGCCACTATAGTTAAGAAGTACTTGAGTCCGTTGTACCCTTGCTCCGGATTTTTCTCCTCAATTAGCCGTCGCAGGCACTGCATTGAGTACAAGTTTAGTTATTCAATGAATGCTATAGACATGTTGAAATATTATTTTGTGGAGAGAAGAAGCTACCTACCTGAAGGAAGCGAGAGAGAAAAGGGATGACAGCAACAACAAAGATGAAAGCCTTGTAGCTACTAGTATTACAAGTGTTCTTTCTGTGTTTGAAGTCTCCCCAACCATAGTAACAGATGTAGAACTCGATGCTTCTAAGAGCTTGAACCTGACTAGTTAATTGATCTCCCAAGAAGAAATCTGGCAATGTTACCTACATGAGAAAAGTGGAGACATAAAGGGTTAAACGAAGCCCTACTATAATAGGAATTTACAACATTTTCTACGGTCAAATGTCTCTTGTTTACCTTGTAAAGAGGAGCGGCGAGGCAATGAAACAAACTAGTGAGGAAGAAAAGGCGAGTCGAGGCGTAAAAGAACTTGAATGGCATGACTAGAACCGCGAACATAGCCTCCAAAAGTAGAAGACAAATGGTGTAGAGTTATTATTATGCCATTGTTTTAATGGCTGATTTTGAGTACTTTGGGGTTTTGGAACTTACAATAAGTAGGAAAAGAGGAAGAAGTTCGGTTAATGCTTGATAATCTTTTGTTTCGGGATCTGCCTCCATGTCAAGATTGGCAAGAACACAAAGCAATGCTAAGACTCCAATACTGAATCCCACAAGCAGAACTTGTCTGTATCCAAGTTCAGTTCCTTGTTTGAACCCAAATATAAAGGAATAGTTTACTTTGTATCGCCTCCAGTAGTATATATTAGCAGCATACATTATTATGTGCAACACTATAAACCCGAACAGGCTTCAAAACAAACAGCAGAGAAGACAACAACATATATAAGCAACATTGTTCCATATAAATACTTAAGATTAAAGGATAAGTTTACTAAGTTGTTACCTATAAAGAGGGAACATAGTATTCATGTATTGTTCTTGGTCTTCTTCCTGCAAGAGGTGGCGGGTGCGGATTATCGCTCCAAGAGCTACGATAAGAGAGAAAATGCATCCAGCCAAGAAACCTGAAACCAATATCCTCTCATAAGCATCCCACAAAGTTTGAACTTTCAAAATAAAAATTTGATGCAAGTTAATGACTTCACCCGTGGAGAATGTAAGTCTGTGTCTCTCTCTTTTCGCTTTAGGTCTTAAAATATTCATTCCTTTTGTTCGATTAGCGTTTGCGAAATGTTTTATGAATGTAGCTTCAACACGCTCCATGAGTCGCACAATCTGTCATAACATAGGATCCAGAGAAGATTAATTAATATAGGAGAGACTAAAACAGAGGATGTTTTTGATAAACCACTTACTTCATCAGAGCTTCCAATGTGTGAAGTATCTACCATTTTCATGTAAGTCTTCATTGCATCCCTAGAACTTATCTATATATATAACACACTATTTTCAGTCATTAAGATTTTATAATATATAACACCAAGTCAAAGTCTCTAATCTTACCTTATCATACTTCTTCAATATCTTGGAAAACGCTAATACATTCAAAAAACTGCATATACATAATTTAAAACTCATCAAACATATTAAAAAATCACAATCCTCTACAAATAAACACCATACGTCACCTGTAGCTCTTGAGAAGTCTCAGCTTCTGATAAAACACGAATAAAGCTTGCCGCAGCTTCTCCTCGACTATCATCAGATTTTCTCTGCTGAATTTTAACTCGGTCTGTTTCGTTATCTGGAGAAATCCTTTGATGGTAGAACGAGGCGTCTCTTTGGTGTCGTTTAACCACACTCGATCAAGAATATCTATCGGAGCAGGTCTCAGTGTTCTCAACTTGGTCGTATTCACGTCCTTAGCTTTGGTAGACACCGAGGCTCCATTAGATTCTTCTTCTTCTTCTTCTTGAACAGCATCTTCCATTCTTCCAGCTCTGCTTGAGCCTCCTTCTTGTATTGCCTCCAGATGAGCTTTACTTCCAACGTGTACTAGAAATTTGAAATATCGATTTGGTAAGTTAAGGCTTGGTACAGTCCAGTGCATAATAACTACTTGGTTGCAGTAGTATAGGCGGAACGGTACAAACCAAGCATTTTAGAAGTGCTAAAACATGTTTTTTAGTGAAATATAAAGAAAACATTTATTGAAAAAGCTAAGTGGTAGCGTTGAACAACATAAAGCTAGGCCTAGTAACAAAAAATCGGAGATCAATCATAGATTAGTTTTTTGTAATTTTAATAAATATATGGTTAACCATATAAATACCCTGGCCATAAACTAGAGATCATGTGTTATCAGTCCTTTTAAAACATGAATATTTTTTCATATGTCCTCTCGACTCCAGCATGGTAGGAACACATTTAATGATACATATTGGACTAGTGCGAAAACGTACCATGTTACCTAAATTTAGAATATCTTATGATTAATGTTAGAGATTGACCGATCATCGGTTATGTTTAACTATTTGGGTTTTGGCTCAAATCCAAACTGGCCAAATAAGGAAACTTTAGTTCTAGTTTGATGACCACTATACTATCATCACTTAGTTAAATATGTATATTTTTGGTTATTTTCTAAAATTTTCAATGGTTCAGTTCGTTAAAGTTTGTTAAACCGGTTATGGTTTGTTGGTGCTGGAAAGTTTAATCATGATTCAACTTCATTTTTATCTTTCACTTTCTTAAATTGGTAAATCCTAAGTCCGTAAGATTCATAATAAATAATAAGTTCATAGATTTTGGAGGGAAAAAAAGTAGATAATGATTCAATAAGATGTATGATTTGCTTACTAGATTTAGCTCCAGCGGGAGAAGAAGCCGAGATAGCTGCCGCGGAAGAAGCTATATCTGAAGCCAACCGAGTGATGTCCACCGTACGTTCCTCCCATCCCCAACCTTCTGGATTCTCAACTTTGACACGAAATGCTATCAAAGCGTCCATCTGTTTATTAAGCACCACCGCTTCTTTCATCACTTCTTCAACTTTCTCTTTGTAAAACTTGTTCACTTTATTGAACTCGTCGTCTAGTCTCCTGAAAAACACCAACTCGTACTCTCCTCCTTCCTCCGCCGTCATCAGAAACGTCGTAACACAACCGTGATCAACGGTGGTGTTCACTAGAATGGGAGCAGACGTAGCCGTCAATGGTATCCCTTCCTCTACGTCGTGAGGATTACCGCGTCTTTGTCTTCCCGGAGTTGAAACTAAGCCGCTAAACGACCGGTACAAAGTCATTTTCCGGCTTAATCCTCTGTTGTGGTGGTTCTTGGCGCCACCACGTGGAGTTGCATGGTTGGTTCTGAGTTTGAATGCCATAATATCTTTGAGACATTTTTTTAGTGAACCGTAGTTCATGTAAGCTTGTTGCCACTCTGGCACCATTTGAGACGAGAACTCCTTCCCGAACTTCATTGCGATTCTTGTCTCGAATCTTTCTAATTGTGATTCTATATTTTATGTTTCCCTAATGAGATCAGAGGACTCGTATATATAAGGGTAAGTGAGCGTTCATGTCTTTCAACGAAGTTTATGATAACGTCAGCGGGAACTTGCATGGGAATTTCTGCTATTTGGAACTATTCTGTAAAAGTCTATATTACTATTAGAATGATGTGATGGTTTTAGCTACAAGCCTACAACATTATACAAATACAGTTCATTTACAATTTTATCATGAAAATATATCACTCAAAGACAGTTTTGAGTTTTATATTTCACAAAAAGACACATTCTTCTACTAACACACTTTATCCTAACATGTTCCTTTTTTCTAGTTATATTGTAACGAGTCAATTAAAAGTGAGTTCATTTCTCTTTCTTCTTCCTCTTTCTTCTTCCTCTTTCTTTTTCCTCTTTCTTCTTCCTCTTCTTCTTCATAAATTTTCTATTTTCTTTGTAAAATGAAATTTGTTGTTACAGTTTATTTGATTTTTAAAATTTCAAGTTATTCATTATTTACATTTTCTTGTCTATCTTTTAAGATATGTCAAGCTATAGTTTTGAAGGCAGGTTGTATATGATTGTAACATCAACAACGGAAATTTTAAACGTCAACGATGGAGATCGCCTCAATCATAGAGAGCTTCTCTCACTACCCTTTGCTTCTGCTCCGAAAACGCTGGAAACCTTGATTTCCAAACTGCTTGTGGTGTCTCACGGTGATTGAAACGGGTTCGTCACATTCTTAGTTCGATTCATGATTTTTCGGCGTGTCATAGTTCAAGCTTCTTCGTTCAGGCAAAAATTACAGTGGCCAAGAAAGGAGACAAAGCTATTTTTGTAATTTTTCATAACTAATAAAAAAACAAAAATATTAAGATTTGTACACAAAACTTGTTCGCGTTGTACACATGTACACACGTTTTTGTATACACCCTAACACGCTTGCTTGTGTACACCTTAACAAAATCACATTGTACATAAACAACATTTCTACATGGAAGTATGCTCACATATTGAAATCGATGGGATGAGATTTACTGAAAATGTTTCACAAACACCTATGGTTATGCATTGAAAGCTAGGTCTTGGAAAGCTTTCGTTCTTTTTAAACACATCTAAAGGTGCAAGTTTAACATATATACTTTCAAAAGAAGTTTATAATCATGTTGTTTAATTCAAGTACATATCTCAAAGATGTACACATGTTTTGTTTGTACACATGTACATATATAATCATGTTGTTTAATTCACGTAAACCATGCTCCGTTGTCCTTATACCTACAAAGATAAATCTATCTCTTTAACATGTACATGTGTATACTAACATCTATATGTGTACACCAACTGTGTACATAGATATAGTTACATCAGTGTACAAATGATATCTTTACAATCTCATGAACATTAGATATCATCTTGGTGTACATGTATATATCATTTACAACTTTGTACACGGATATAGTAACAATTGTGTACAAAATGATACCTTTACAACAGTGTCATCACTAAAGTTCACAGCCACTATGCAACTTGTGTAAATAACGTACACATGGACATTTCAAAATATCGTGAAATCTTATTATTTTATTTCTTTTTGTATCATATTTTAAATGAAATATATGTGTACACAGTAATGACATTTCAAAATATCTTGATTCAAGATGAAAACTTTACGAGAGGTATAAACTAAAAAGATGTGGAAAATCTCAAATATATCATCAATCATATAAAAGAGGAATAACTTGATTCCAAGATCGAAACTTTACAATCACATACACCAAAATCTACAAGTTTTGGCACTATGTCATCAACGCTAGAAAGCATCTGAATCATCCATCTCTTAATCTACCCTGCAAAAAAATCTACAAGCTTAAGTGTTATGTATATCAAATATTTACATGTACACATATGTTTGAGATACATATTACATGTCCAACATGTTGTAAAGATATGTACATCTGTTAGTGTATATTAAATGTTAGTAGTGTACATGTATATACAATAGTACATATGTAAAATAAATATGGTAGTGTATATGTGTACAACAAAATATAGTAGTGTACATTAATTAATTTTATTAAGATTGCCAAATTACGAAAATAACCCCATCTTCTTCCTCAGCCATTGTCGACCAGAAATCTCAATCTCCGTTTTTTCTTGCCTATTTTCCATGATTCTTTAGATTCTTCACTTATTTTTGATATATATTTATCTAGATATGGTAGTTTTCAGTCTTAATTAATGATTTGATCTTAAAAGTTCATTTTTTTTTAGTTTTTGATTTGTTGGTCAATTTGTTCCAAATCGCCATAGCTGAATGTCACCTTCTTAATAAAACTTTTGGTAATAAAGACGTACAATGACGAGATCTCACGTCTGTTGAAAAAAAAATTAGAAAAGAGAATCAATAAAATTTCACAATCTCTTGAATAAATTCTCTAGAAGTTAATTTCTTAAAAAAAATTAGAAAAGATTTCAGAATCAAAATGATAAGAGAGAATAAAATAGAAAGAGAAAGAATGAAGGGTTATGGTTAAATAACAAAAAACGAAAATAGGTATAATATTTAGTTAGCTTATTTAGTTAGTTTATAGATAGAAAGTGGAATTAGTTAGAAGAAACAACCTTAGTAGAAAGAACTGCCTTTTTCTGATATAAAAACTCAACAACTGCCCTAGGATGAAATAAACTCTTTTATCATTTCCTCAAATCTTATATGTAAAGTTAATTTGTACTATATATTCCATTTTTCATTCAGATAATTAAGACATTTTGTAACAAAATAATAATTACTTTCTTTCTATTTTACTAAATATATATCATTCCATATACTATAAAATTTTTTTTTTTTAAATATATATATATATATATATATATGTTTTATTATATTGGTGTTTTTTACTAAATTAAAATTATGTCTAAAACGATCTAGAAATAGTATTACATAATTAGTATTTATAACAACCAAAATTTAAAAATTTGTAAGTTACTATTTATGCATTTTTACTATTTAAAAAGATAAATATAATGTCCTAATTAACTGTATAAAACTAAGTTAGCCATGTGACATTGTTTGAAATATAATGAGTAAATATAGTTAAGTAGTCAACATTCTATAAATATATTAACAGTTTAATACAGAAGTATATAATTTTTATTTAACACTACATATTTATTATTTTGAAAATACGTATGCTGTAAAAAAAATCAAATTTAAGCATTGTTTCAGTCAGTATCGCCTATTTCTTTTGAGTATTTGCATGGTACACACAAGACTTATACCGTAATTAGGTGAATGCACTATTTGTATTTTCGAGGCTGTCAGAAGGTAAGAGGTTTACAATTCTAGCCCTCATCAAGTCTGATCATCAACAACCGGTTACCTGTTTTTACTGTAATCTTATTTTTTTATTTTTTTAATATTCTGATAATTCAATACTACACGCAACCTCCTGTGTCAGGCAAGTTGAGATTTTTATGTTTCAAAACTTCCCTATTTGTTCCTTAATTTAAAATATCAAAACTCACTCAATTATTCTTTTTCATTCGTTTGGGTGGTGCGGCGGATTTCTAGAAAAGCTTCAAGGGTTTTGATGGCTCGTCAGTTATAGGCGGAAGCTCTGTATGAGGAAGGTGGAGCGACAGCTGATTCCGCAAGTCAGTCATCAAGATCCCTTAAAAATTGTTTCCATTGTTGAAAGGTGCTCGTTTCACGGCGGATCTATCCATGAAGATGGTGGTTCTTCCGGTGGCGATTTCTTTCGTAAGAGGAGGAGCACATGGTTTTCGTACTTGTGCTAAGGTGAAGAGCCTTCTCAATCAACGGCGGAAGAGTTTGGGAGTCGGGTATTCTTTTTGGCTATGGCGTTATGTGGCCGCATGACCCCTCCGAGATGGCTTAGCTTTGAAGGTACACCGGTTAATGGTTTTATTGGCTGGCATGGACACTCCGCTGTAGTGATGCCCCGAATAACATGATTCGCTGGCTGTCGGTGTCTGTCGAAGGTGGAGGCTATGGCTCCTTCGTCTTCTTCGCTTTAGATTTTTTGTTTAGGTTTTTTTTTCATGTAACCTAGCAATTTTCGTTTCATCGGAGTTTCGGTCTGTTTATGTCTATGTTCTACTCCCTAGAGGCTTGATATATATTTAACTGTTACAAGTGGAGTTTTTTTTTTGAACTGATTATTTGTTACAAGTGGAGTTAACAAACCAAAAACGACCAGAACACTTGCTAAACTCCCCTTTTCAACAGCCACGATGAAACATTAACATACTGCTATCATCCAAGTCCATTACTAAAATGTTTAGCCTCAACATAAATAAACTATCAGGCTAACACACCAAGTAACTTACCAACGAAGATGCAAACCTGCAACAGACACTTCATTACCCCAACGGTTACAAGTGAAATTAGCAAACCAAAACGACTGGAGACATTGCTAAACTTCCGCTGAGAAAAGATAAAATAGATACTGCTATTGTTCAAGGTCTATTAGACTGCTAATAAATTGTTTAGCCTTCACAAAAACTAACCGACTAGCTAACACAATAAGTAACCGACCAACGAAGATGAAACCCTGCAAAAAAAAAAAAACTTTCACACATAGATACTACCAGCTTTTTACTCCTCATCAACATATTTCAGCACTCACCCTGTGTGATACTCCCTTCAAAGGATGTTTCTTTTCCCCTCTCACAACCATTACTTGTCCCCATTCCTTTCTGTTTGCTAGTCAAAGCTAGCTTCATAATTTGTAGTCGAGTGTAAGCATCAGAGTTTGGATCTCGTGCTTTTGTGTTGTTCTTCTCAACTGTTTTAAGGGGTTTGAATGCAATTCTTCACCGGCACTTCTCTTTTATTATTGATAACTAATATTATGTTTAGCTAAAATCTGGAGATTTTCTCTAGATAATAATATTATTAAGAAACTTATTTCATACTTTCTTAGAGAACTCCTCTCTTATTTAATTACACAACTAATTTTAGTTTACTGTAATTTGTAAAAGGCTTGTTTACTCATATAACTACAACATTTTATGAAGAGAGAATTTTATTTAAATATAACTTATTTATACATATCGCACTGCTTACATCCCAATACTGAATTATGCTACAAACAGAGTATACAAACAAATACAAATGTTAAAACAACCTTTAATATATTTAACATGCTAATGAAAAGCTTAACAGGGTACAATATTGTTATTCCCAGCTATTAATATAATAAGTGTATCTAATAATATTTTTATCTGTCCACTTCTAGAATGTTAACTTTTCGACAACCACATCTTCTTCGTTTTTATTTCAACAGAAAGGGGGTATTAAATGTTAAAAGAAGAGAATTATAACCGCAACTACACGAAACAAAGTTGTCCAAGCTTGCTCCTTCGTCCATCGCCGTCAAGACCAAGCCTACTCTGGAGTGCACAATGGCCACAGACGCCGGCTTCCGAAGAAGATTCGACTCTAAAACCTTGCAGCCACCACTACTTAAGACACCATTGTCTCAAATTCCGACCACCATAGACTGAGGGAACCACTCCCTTCATCCCAACATCTCAAAAAGTTTGGGGCGCTTCCTCTTGTGTAATGTGCCTAGTCGGACCATTAGCAGTTGACGTTATCCCTGCACAGAAAAGTGTTACATGGTCACTAAACTGTATAACTTACAATAATTTATTCAACACAAACATAACTAAAAAATCAATGACACCAGTATTTGCTAACTAATTTATTATTTTTAACACATTTTCTGTTTTAGATCAGTGCAAAGTTTCTTTTAGTTTGTCAATAACCTTTTTAGCATATGCAATAATCTCCGAAATACATGCTAAAAAGTCTAGAAAATCTATTTAACAATCTTTTAGCACTTCATTACTTTTTAAAGCCAGTTACATTAGATTTTTACTTGCTAACATAAATCCACATCAAGAAAAAAACATGCTAACTTGTTGCTAAATTAGCTTGACTTACCCAGTGATAAGCAGTCGCCGAACGGTCTAATCGGTATTCCACCGGAAACATACCGGAGAGAGGAAAACGCAGAAGAGAGAATCTGGCTTCAACAATAGCTTGATTCAGCACAGGCAAAAAAAAAAAAAACAACGCTTCAGAAACATCAAACCCAAAACCAATCTAATTAAACAAATAAAAGCAAACGAAATTATCAAAGCCTTGCATGCAAATCGAATAATCTTTCAAAATATAAAGGAGCTTGAAGATGATTGAACCCTAACAGAGAGGGTAGGATGAAACAAATCGATCTAAGATTTTGATCTGATTGAAACCTTTTCTAATACAGAAGCGAGGTTGATTTAGAGAAACTAAAGAAAAAAATATTAATACTCAAAACCAGAAACTATTCAGGAAAAGAAACTCTAAAAAAATCATTGGAAGTCCAATGATTCAAAAAACGCCAGAAGAAACAACATTAAAAAAGCTTTCGTTCATCGGAAGAGAAACCAGACACACGAGAAATAAAAATCAGCCAAGATGGTTCCATGAGAGAGAGAGAGAGAGAGCCATCATTACGCCTTTTCTTAATTAATTTTTATTTCATTTAGTTTATGACTTACTTTCACCGGTTACCATGATTTTTTTTTAATAGACAGAAGGTTAATTTTGACATTTTCTCTATGCTGAGTCATTTCCAAGTCCCCACAATTTTTGTGTCATAGGCATTTGCCTAATTTGTTACTTCTTATATGATTTTGAGCTAATTCACTCTAAATTTTAATAAGCCCACTAATTCATATAACTTTTTGTTATAAACTATATATTATGTAATCTTAATATTAAATTTGCCCCAATAAAAAAAATAATTTATACTTCTCAAACTCTAAGAAGAAAAATCTTCCCAAATCAAAGAAAGTCTGACAAAAATACTTTTCTCTGAAAACAACAAATCCACCACCAAGCTCAAGGATTGGTCAACAAAATCATGATTTTTCAATTCATTTTCTTACTTTTCTTCTTTGGCAAAATATATATGTACTATACTCTTTTTTTCTTCTTCACAAACCTAATATAAAATAATGCTGATAAACGGATAACTGATGTTACCATTAATTGTTGTTAATAAAAATTTCTATAATATATACATATTTACACAAACTACAGTTCTCATTCCTTGTTTATACTCAAACCAATGTTTTCTGAATCTTAGCCAATTTCCAGTTTAAATATTTTTAAAAAAACGATCAGAATTTCTTAGATACTTAAATAATTGGGTGAATTTGGTATATAACTATAACAGATAGAAAATTAAGGAAATGATCATATCTTGAAAAATGTATCAATTTACTACATAAAAGGATATTATACTTGTTTACCATTTACGCACGTCGTGTAACACATACTACAACAAAATATTATTCTATTTATAAGATATAATAGATTATTTGAAGCAAAAATATAACTATAGAAAATAATTTGAGTATTATCTAATATAAGAAAGCATATTTCTTTATATGAAACATGTTTTAATGGAAAATATAACAAATGAAGATATATAATTGATATAGTATAAAAAAGATTTAAAGATTACTATTTTATGTTTGGTGATCAATGATATAATATGTGAAAGTATACAGAAAAAGAGGGGAGGGGGAGGAGGAGGATTTATATAACTATTATATATATGTGAAATAGAGTAGAAAAGTATAATTTTGCCAAAAAAAAACTATAACATATTAATTTTATGAATATATGTTTTTTTTTTAAATTGAAATTTGTTATATAAAGAAAAAAGCTATGTTTTTAATAAGTAAACTACACATTTGAATAACTATTTATATATTTTCAAAAGTAAATAAAAAAAGGAAGGGAAAGTGATGAAAGGTAAAATATGAAAATTGTTTAAATACAGATTTTTTTTTGTTATGGGCATTTTATTAATTTATGGTTTTCTTATGGTTAAGGGTTCTAATTTCTCTAAAATTTAAACACAAACTAGCAAGGTTAAAAACTGATTTTAACTCATATATATTATGTTAATTTTAAGCAAATCTACACTAAAAATAATTTATTTATCAAAATCATAAGAATCATATGCGCTTACTATATTTTCTCGCCTTCACCTGTTAGTATAAGTCAATCATAAATATTTAAAATTAGCATCAGACTATATAAGTTTTTGATAAATTGTATTTGCTTTTAGAGCATTACTGAATTATCACTTATTAATTAGACCGGCAATAGAAATACAAATTTCAGCTAAGTTTCTTAGACATAAAATGCTAATAGTTTAATTAAATTTTAAATATATAAGCTAAATCAGTTGTGTAACAAAAATTTCTTTAAAATTGTTATACTTTTTAAAACATGTAAAAGAAAATGATATATTTTTCTTACCTTCAGTATACAGTAGAACTTTTATAAATTGATATTGTTAGGGTTTTGAAAATTTATTAAGTTATAGAGATATTAATCTATAAAAGTTTTCTTATTTAGATTTTTTATTTTTATAATATGTTTATTTTTATAATATGTTTACTTTTCTAAACTTATAGCTATAACGAATTTTTCAACAAAAAAAAATTCTAGATTTTAATATAGAATTATCTAAAGCACTGTTTAAAAAGTTTTGAAAATATTTCTTTTGTTTTCAAAATATACGCTATTGTCTAGTAATCATGTTTTTAACAAAAACTCATGGTCAAATCTTTACACTCTGTAGCACAAAAATCTACATTTTAAATTTATTAATAATAATAATAATAATAATAATAATAATAATAATATTAATCCACGGTAAAATGAGAACTACAACAGCAACCAAATTATGGCCTAACTACCAAGTGAAACAGTGAAGGTGTCTAAATTTGACGATTTATGAATATAAAGAAAACAAGTGTTGATTTTCCAACAGTCAAATTTAACAGTCAGCACACAAACAAACAGACTTGGAAAAGAATAATATTCATAATGTACGTAATTTTCAGTTATGTGACTAAAGTTGACTTGGGATTGGACTTTGTCGATCGATTCATAATCTTTACTTCTCTAGTACATCTTGAATACCTCTGTATAGCCCTGCGACTTCGGTTTTCCGAAACCGAACCGAACCGTCGGTTTTCGATTAACCAAAAAATTTAAAATCTATTTTGAAATTAATTGAATTAAATTTCGGTTCGGTTTGGTTAGGTTATCGATTAATTTTGGTTTTCAAAATTATTTCCAAAATAACCAATTTTATTGGTTTTCGGTTAATTCCGGTATATTTTTTCAAAAAAATCAGATATTTTTGGTTATTTCGGTTAACTTCGGATATTTTCAGTTTTTTCGGTTCGGTTTTTCGATTATTTTCCGATATTTTTCGATTATTTTTGTTTTTTTAAATTTTTTTTTGAAAATCAAAAACTGAACCGAACCGAAAACCGAATTACTTTTCATAATCATACCAAACTAAACCGAATTAAAAACTGAAACCGAATCGAAAACCGAAAATTTTGGTTCAGCTCGGTTTGGACCGTTCGGTTCGGTTTAAAGTCGGAGGCCTACCTCTACAAAGAAATATCATGGAAATATAGGACTTGGGCCTTATACACTAATGGGCTTTTATATTAGATTTTCTTATCTATGCTCTAATTACTATTATCCACTCAATACTTTACGCGCCAACGAAAAACCACCATGACAACCTCCGTCTCCCCCGTCGCGACGGGTTTTCTCCGTTTACCGTCAATCCAAAAGTCTCAAAACTCTTCCTTTCTCTTCACCCACCAGAGAATCCCACCCAAGAAATCTTCTCTGAGACCCATCTCCGCCTCAACCTCAGAGTTGCCGGAGAACGTCCGGACTTTCTGGAAGTGGCTCGGAGACCAAGGAGTCGTCTCCGGTAAGACCGCCGCGGAGCCCGCGGTGGTGCCGGAAGGTCTGGGGCTCGTGGCTCGGCGCGATATCGGAAGAAACGAGGTCGTTTTGGAGATTCCCAAGAGGTTGTGGATAAGCCCGGAGACGGCGGCGGCTTCAAAGGTCGGAGCTTTATGCGGCGGGTTAAAGCCGTGGGTTTCGGTTGCTCTGTTTTTGATTAGGGAGAAGTATGATGAAGATTCTTCGTGGAGAGTTTATCTTGATGTTCTTCCTGAATGTACTGACTCTACCATCTTCTGGTGGGTTTTGTTCCTTGTCTGATTATCATCAATTATCTAAAAGTTTGTCTGATGAGATGATGTCTTCATGAAAATGTCTTCAGTACAGGTCAGAAGAGGAGCTTGCTGAGCTCAAAGGTTCAATCTTTTTACCCATTTGTCTTCTCAATTCCTTAGTTAGATCATTTGAATACTTATTGGTTTGGGAATTAAGCTGTTACAGGACCAAATATTCTTGTCTTACTAGTAGTGTCTGATAAGCACATAACATTGTTGGCTTAGTAGTGTATCTTTTGGCTCAGGGACTCAATTGCTGAGCACTACTTTGGGTGTGAAAGAGTATCTAGAAAATGAGTTCTCAAAACTTGAACAAGAGATATTACTTCCCAACAAAAATATGTTCCCATCCGGCATAACACTTGAGGATTTCATCTGGGCGTTTGGGATTCTCAGGTCGAGAGCTTTTGCTCGCCTCCGTGGCCAGGAACTTGTCTTGATCCCTCTTGCAGATTTGGTAAAGCCCTCCTTGTATACAACTAACCAAAGAAAAGGATACTTCTCTTATAGTTTCAGGACTAAGAATCTTCATCCATTTACTATAATGTTTGGTTTTGAACAGATAAACCATAACCCTGAGATAAAGACAGGAGACGATGCATATGAGATCAAAGGAGCAGGTCTGTTCTCTAGAGATCTCTTGTTTTCCTTGAAATCCCCTGTCTATGTTAAAGCAGGTGGGCAGGTAAAGCTTCAAACACTGCTACTTATTTTTACCCTTCAGTGACTGTAAAAACAAGCCCGTTAATGATTGTGTGGGTTACCTCTTCCACAGGTGTACATTCAGTATGATGTGAACAAAAGCAATCAAGAGCTTGCTCTGGATTACGGTTTTGTGGATTCAAATCCTAACCGAAACTCATACACTCTAACAATCGGGATACCAGAATCAGACCCATTCTTTGGGGATAAGTTAGATATCGCTGAGACTAATGGGATGGCTGAGACCGGATACTTTGACATAGTAGAGGGACAGTCTCTTCCCGCTGGCATGCTTCAGTACATTCGGCTTGTGGCTCTTGGTGGTTCAGATGCTTTCTTGTTAGAATCTATCTTCAGTAACACCATATGGGGCCATCTTGAGTTGCCTGTAAGTCGTACGAACGAGGAACTTATATGCCGTGTTGTCAGAGATGCTTGCAAATCTGCTTTGTCTGGTTTTGCTACCACCATTGAAGAGGTAGTAGTATATATGTTCAAACTATTGCTTCTCCTGTCTTTGTAAGACTCATTTCTTGCTTTGTCGGTGTCGTGTTTTTGCAGGATGAGAAGTATCTGGAAGAAGGAAAGCTTGATTCTAGGTTGGAATTGGCTCTCAAGGTAAGGATTGGTGAGAAGAAAGTGCTTCAGCAAATCGACAAAATCTTCAAAGATAGGGAGCTTGAGCTTGATGTTTTAGAGTATTACCAAGAGAGACGGCTCAAAGATCTTGGTTTGGTTGGGGAGCAAGGGGAGATCATCTTCTGGGAATGAGAATCAGCTCATAGCTTGTATAGCTTATCCTGCAAACAAAACTCAGGGCCAGAGAAAATCTTTACTGAATCAGCCTTGAGACAGAGGAGTTAAATGAGACCACCACCATCTGTATGTTAGGCTATTGCCAAAACCTGCCTTTTTGTGAAGTTTCTATAAGATGTGACATACATAATCTTGTTTTTGTTACATTTTTAAGTACAAACAAATACAAATTAAGATCAGCATCCACCAATGCAGTAATAACGTTTTGGATGAGTAATTTTCTATAGTCTTGTGCGGTAAGTCCAACATTATTATTGGGCCTTAATTCTATAAACCCACTGTTATTTAGCCCAAAATCTAATCCACGTGTTACGACGAATGAAACACTTACGCGTGGCACCCCACGTGTTGACTTTCTTTAGTCTTCTTCATTAGCCCAGAGACAACGAAACTCGTCAAATCGATCTCTCTCCGTTTCTCTCTAGTCTTCTCTACATCGGAGCAGCCATGGATCTTCTTCACAGCTCAATTATACTACTAATCCTCTCAATTCTATCCCCAGCAACTCTCTCCATGCGTTACGAACTTCTCTCAGGCCACACAAAATGCATCTCCGAGGAGATTCACGCGAACGCAATGTCCGTCGGGAAATACAGCATCGTAAACCCTAACGGAGACGATGATCATCCTCTTCCCGATTCACACAAGATCACCGTCAGGGTATACATTTCCGAAATCTTAATCGTCAATTGGTGATTTTCAGTTAATATTTAAATGTGTGTATTTGTATAGGTGACGTCACCGCAAGGAACGTCCTATCACGAAGCGGATGGAGTGAGTAACGGACAGTTCTCGTTAACGGCTGTTGAAACGGGAGATTACATTACTTGTATCTCAGCCGTTGATCATAAACCGGAGACGATGTTGGTTATTGATTTTGATTGGAGGTCTGGTATTCATACCAAGGAGTGGTCTAATGTTGCTAAGAAGAGTCAAGTTGAAGTAAAGTCTTTTTTTAACTTTGTCAAAGTTTAAAAGCTTCTTTGTAGTGTTGGTTAAAGAGTTTTTTTTTTTGTTATTGGGTAGATGATGGAGTTTGAGGTTAAGAAGTTGTTTGACACTGTCACGTCTATACATGATGAGATGTTTTATCTTCGGGATAGGTAAGTTTACATGAATACAACCAAGAGAATGATGATTCAAAGGCTCAAAACTTCTTGTGGTGTGTTTTGCAGGGAAGAGGAAATGCAGGAACTGAACAGATCTACTTACGCGAAGATGGCATGGTTGAGTTTGCTGTCTCTTGGAGTTTGTTTATCGGTTGCTGGACTTCAGTTTTGGCACTTGAAGACTTTCTTCCAGAAGAAGAAGCTCATCTGAAGACTCAATATCTTAAAACACTCTATTTTACACGCAAACTATATTCACTTTTTTTGGTTATGCATTAACATCTCAGTAACTCAATCCAATCAAAGGAACAACAAGAGCTTTTTTTGTTTTTGTTTTTATGTCGCACGCTTTCTAGTCGTGAAAAGAGAAAAAATAAACAATCTTTACAAAAGAAAAGAAGCATAGAATAGGTGTAATAAGCAAACATAATGTTTATGATCTCATGTTTGATTTGTTTGGTGTGTATTTTATGAAGTGAATAAGCCCCAGTGGTGATCTGATGGTAGAGTTTCCTTTATCTTTTCGAGTCTCTTGAGGATGTCTAGAAACGATGGTCTCTGGTTCATGTCTGCTTCCCAGCATTTCACTATTAACCTGTTAAAAAATGAAACTTGTTATTAGGTTATCGGTGGAGTATAACTGGTGTGCATAGGGCACTTAGGTTGTTTTGCTTACTCTCTTAGATCTGGTGTGCATCCTTTGGAACGGAAACTAGGTCTGTGTCCATCTGATACATGTTTAGCTGCTTCATATGGCTCATGGTTCGCAAACGGTGGCTCTCCTTCAAGCATCTGAATACAATGTAGTAATGAAATGAGGTTAAGAGTTTGTAGAGAGACAGATTATCTTATAGTTAAGAAGATGTTAGTACCTCGTAGAGAATCATTGCAAAGGAGAAGACATCGACTTTCTTGTCGTATTTTCTATGCTTGAATACTTCAGGAGCCATATACCGGTCTGGTTTTTCGCAGGAAGAAGAGTATTAACACATGAGATGAACTTAAAAGTAAAAGAGGAAGACAATATAGGTTTTAACTATAGAAGAACACTTACAGCTTCCGGTTTCGCCAGTCATTTTGTAGACATCATGAGAGTTTTGAACCTTTATGAGCTTACTAAGACCAAAGTCTCCAACTTTCAAGTGGTCTGCACTGGAGTTAACCAGAAGAACGTTCCTGCAAAACATAACCGGTTTTAAAAATTAGCAGATTTAAAGTACAACCGAGGAGCTATGCAATTTTGGTTACCTTGGTTTAAGATCTCGGTGAATGATAACATTAGGCTCATTGTGAAGATATGTCATTCCTCTGTAAACAACAATTTAAATAAGAACTCTCAAGCCAAATATGACGAATAAACTTTCACATAATATCTCAAATGGTAAGTACCTTGCGATATCCAACGCAAAGTTGACAGCAGTTGCTGGAGTAAGACCACCCTTTTCCTTGAGGTATTGATGAAGATCTCCCTGTGACAAAATAGATTAATCATTTATGGATTAAACATTGCAGAGACAAAAGACAGGGGATAGTGAAAAGAGTTACCCCGCGTAAGTATTCAGTGATTAACATAAGGGGTTTTCTTTCGGTTACAGCTCCTAAGAATTGGACTATATTCGGATGACGAAGCTTAACTAGCAAATCAACCTCATGCCTGAAGTCTTGACTGTATCACAGCAAATATGAAACACAAGAATCTTAGGAGAGGGAGAGACTGTTAACAAGGTGCCAGTCGGAAAAACTCATCAGATAACAGCAAAAGAGAGAGAGAGATAACAACTTACATAACCAGTCTATCATCTGACAGAGACGGAAGAATACGTTTCACAGCTACTGGTGTTCCTCTCCAATAAGCTTTCACAATCTCACCAAAGGAACCCTGACAAAAAGATGTGACAAACCTCCCAATTAGCCCAAACAAACCCATTTCACAAACTCCAATGCATTGAACTAAAGACGGATAATGCTTAGCTAAAAACAATCCACAATTAAGAACAAAACTTAGCTTCAAGAGAATACACAAACCTTTCCAATCATGGCGGCATTAGAGAAATCAAGCTCAGCAGGTTCAATTTCCCAGTCACATTTCTTTGGAATTGGCGGTTGCACAGGTTTTGGTTCAAAATGACTCCCGTTTTGACCCTGCATAGAGAATTTAATCAGCGAGGTTCAAAAACTAAGAGATCCACACACACACACACAAAAAAAAAAACTGTGTAAGTGGAACAATAAAATGTCTCTTTGAATCTCTAAACAACACAAATATAACAAACAACACTCCATTTAAACAGCTGCTTCAGATAGAGATGAATGTTTCTAAATGTTGCATTAAGCTTTTCATATACAATAGCAATTAATATAAGATGACAAAGAAATTCAAGAACTCACATAAGATGAACCGCCATGAGACTTCAGCAGCTCAATCATTTTCTGCTTCCTAGCTCCTTCCGCATCAGCCAGAGGCTTCAAAACAAACAACCAAACACAACATTAACATCAAAAGCAACAAAAACAATCAAATCACAACAAAAACAATCAAATCACAACAAAAAAAAAGGACAAAACACTTACAGTGTTCTTCCACCTATCCTGAGCGTTTACATCAGCACCAAACTCGAGCAGACAATTAACAACATCGATCCACCCATGAAGCGACGCCACGTGTAACGGAGTCCTCTTATCATAGTCTCTAGCGTGAACAAGAGACGGATCTTCCTCAAGGAGCTTCCGAACCGCAGCCGCGTCGTTCTGGTGCGCGTGCCACAGGATCAGAGACGTTCTACTCACACGCGCCTTCTCCTTCTGTTTGTCGTAAGCCGGTGATGGCCCAGCGCTCGTTCCCGCGGAGGAAACGGCTTGTTCGCCGCCGTCTGTAACCGCCGACGAATCGGAGCTCATCTGAAGTGTAAAGCTGAGATTTTTAAAAGAGGGTTTCGAATTATAGAGACTTGGTTTGCTTGGATTCTGGATTTTTTATGGATTTTGCTTCTTTGGGTAATTGAGGAATCGATTCTTTGCAGTGGAGATGATGAAAGCTTGTAGCTTGTTCTTTTGTCTGAACGCCGTTAACTTATCCGTCAAGTTGGAGACTTTTTCCTCCCGTCTATTTTAATGTGTTTGTTAACTCTGTCACCGTTATCCCAGACTTTTTATATTTATTGGCCGACTCATTTCTTTTCACATTATTTATTCCTTCATGTTTGTTTGGATAATTATTTGAGTTTTATGAACAATATTAATCTAAATTATTGTTAATTCTTACGAAGTTCTATTTTTGTCACAATCAATTAAAACTGAAATGAAGAACTAGTCACATTGGAAGAACTAAAATGAATGGTGTAAATATAATGTTATGGTCTTTGTGTGTGAAGGGTAGTACTAAGTCAACGATCCGGATAACATGGCATCACATCTAATCACATGACTGCTATAAATGTCCACACACGCATATGCCTTTAGCATCTATTTGGATGTGATTAAAAAGTCATTCATGTTAAAAATAATGAATGCAATAGATATAGTTTTTAGTTTATTTTAAGCAGCAACTAATCATGTATGGACAACTATAAACACTCGAAAATGTTTGGCCAACTAGGTCAAACATCTAAAATTTAACCTTGAATTAGAAACACACATACATTACAAAAACGTATAGATAAACTTAATTATATAGAAACCACCTAATGATAGTCTACTGACTCTAACTAACCAACTGTGTTTCCTCCAGCTTAGGGAGAAGGCAAGCCATTCCAAGGGTCTGAGACGTACGGTTTGGTCGGCAGACAAAAAAAAAAGACGGTTTGGTCATCACCAAACTGTGTGGGATTCTTGACCAGGGAACAGCTCGAGCAGCGTACAAGGCGTAATGTTATTAAGTATTAACGTGAAGCAATGTGGGAGATGTGAGAAGATACACCTCACTAGTTCATGCATCGTGTGTCGAGCTACACATTGCAATAACTCATCTTTCATTCCTGCTTGGTGAACAATACGAAAACCAAGTGTTGACAACAGAGAATACATCATTGCTTATAGCATAATTGTTCTTCATGCATGCCTGACTAACCTGAAGTATCTTCATTAGCACCAACCTATTCTGATGCAGGATCTGTCAGCCTCAAATTGGCATCTTGTCACAGAATCTACTACCAAGTGCATGGTGTCTTCAGTATTTGTAGTATTTTGATCAACTAGATTCAGACTAATTAGGATCTTGAAAATTGATGACAAAGCAACTAATACTCATATATTATAAATGGCCACTATTTCAGTGGGTCTGTAGCAGGCTTGTAATTAAATGTCGCACAGTCCTTACTAAATAAATTGCTTTGTATTTGTAGCACCTTTCTCATTCCCAACAAGATAGAAAAAAAAAAATCATATTAAATTCTATCAAAGAGACAACTGTAACACTAGTATAGTTTTATACATTTAAATTCAGGAACAGTTGAATAATTATTTTATTGTTGATGTTGTTGAGGTGGTTGCCTTTGCTCCTCCGGTTAGTGGGAGACAATACTTTCCATAATTTTTATAACCCAAAGAATGATTAAAGTATTAATTAGTATGAAATTTTCAACAAACAATGCAAATATACAATGAACCTTTTTATATATCTCGACATTTATATAATCATAATATTATGACATGTCTGATTAGGTATTCTTGCAGCTGAAGGACATGTCTCTTTCATGTTTAATTAGTGTCAAAAAATTAATAAAGTATAGTATGTTATGTTATCAGTATATGATTTGCCATATGCATGACATAAGTATCTAACTACATAGCTACTAGCTAGATATATGAGTTGTGGACGGAAATAGGTAAATGTTTTATGAGAAGTGATCATGTGAAAAACGAATGAGAAAAATAAATGTGTGTAATTTAGATATTATATGATTCAGATGTAAATAATTTTCGTATAAAGAGACTTTTGTTTTCAGTTGACATACATCTAGGTATTTGGTGTTTGAAAATGAAATTGAATATCAAACAAATAATCATTAGACATCCACCCTAGATTGATAGATATTTAAATAATGTGGACTACAGTTGGCAATGTTCTCTAAGGTCTACACACGTTCAAGTATTTGTCTGGAACGTATCTGCTCTTGATTTTTATATACACAAACTTATATGATATATTTGGTATCCACGTAACTGCACCGTTTCTGGTTTAAGAACTATTCAAAACATTATGTAACCTAATTAGACAATAATCGAGATTTATAGTTTAGGTTTTTTGTCTGCTGGAGTATAATTGATGTGTTACTGTTACCGTCTAAGATTAATCGTGTGTATTAGAGGTAAAAATAATTAATATCTAAACCATGTTCCTAATCGTCTGCCAACCACACTTGCAGCTGTTCAAGTCTCTTAACTGGACTTCAAACTTCTAATAAATCAAGAAAAATCATAGGCTTCTTAAGCTTTGGTTTTGTCCGACAATCTTTTTGGTTTAAAAGAAAAGCAAGAATAAATAATATGAGCCGTCAATAGCACAGTTGAAATATATTGGAGAATCCACTGTTGTATCTTTTTCTTTAAAATGATAACATTAAAAACTAAAAGATCTTATACTATATGTATGAAAAGAATGGATGCAAGAGAATATGTGCAAATGGAATTTTCAGTCATTTGTAGCTTCTTACTATTCAGTATCGTCAGAAGATTACATGTATGAACGGCTGTAAGCCTGTATCGATTAACAAATAAAAAAAAGAAAAATATAATATTCTCTCATATGAAAAGGACTTTGAACTAACTGATTATATTCACTTCTTAGCTCAATAATACTTCTTTATAAAGTAATTTATTATATTCTTGGACGGCACTGATACATAAACAATCTATTATGAATAACAAAGTAAAAATTACTGTTAAATTACAAATAATATGACTTTCTATCAACGTAATAATTGGACATAAGACATGATTCTATAAAAATGTGTGCATCTAATTGGAAAAACAAAAACAAATGTGGTCAGTGTATTCTTAAGCACTAGATCGAAGATATATGAATGCAGCTTATAATAGTAAGCATGTGGTCATCATCGAGAACTTCATATACGCATATCTTTTGAAAATATGTCATTTCAAATGTCTCGACGATCTTGATTAGACATTTTCTTTCAACGGCTACATATATTATAGCTTATGCCTTGTTGTAAACTTTCACACTCCAAATTTGATGAACCTGAAATATATATTTCGGCACGTTTTATTCCCTCTTAACATTTTCCACTCTTCTCTTGTCAAGACTAGCCAAACTTGAAAAATATGAAACGAACTCTGAAAAAATAAATATATATATATATTTGTTGATGGATGTGGATGTTTTGTTAACATCGATGAGAAAGAAGACACAAATATTAAACGAGGTTAAGAAAATAAGAAGGTTTCCATAAATGGGGAGACACATGCTGTAAAATAACTCATGACTTCTGTAATAAAAAACGGTTGCTTCTTACCCGCGCGCGAAGTTCATGGGGTCAACCCCTAAAACAAACTTACTTTCTCTGTAATAAAATATCATAGACAAAAGAAAAAAAAAAGAAATATTAAAAAGCAGATAGAGAGAGATTGAAACGAGGAAGAAGACTTGGGAAGGATCCGAAGAAAACGGGTTACTTAAGAATCAGTGGTGTCAAGATCTCTCCCCTATTTATTTAATGAGATTAAAAAAAATTACTTTTTATTGACACGAAAAGACAAAGAAACAAAAAAAAGAGAGTCGATAGGCAGAGGAAAAGACGAACAGAACAGAGGATTTTTCCAGGATCCTCTTCTTCCTCTGTTCTTCTCATTCTTCTCCTGGTTTGTTTTCTTCATTTTAAACATTTTTTGTTCATTCAAGATTTTCTTGTCTCTCACGTCTATGTTAAAAAATTATTTGATCTCTGAAAAACAATGTTTAACTCTGTGTATTCAAGGTTTTCTTGTCTTTCACGTTTCAAATCTCAAATGCTACATTTTTAAGGTTTGTTGTCAACTGCTAATAAAATTTTTTTTTTCCTCTTTGATGAAGGTCTTGAAGATTTACATGAATCAACATCCCATTTTTATGAATGTTGATGCACTCTCTCATGTATACATAAGCTCTTGCAGGTGACCTCTCTAAAAGGTAAAAGATTCTCTCTTGCTTTTGTTTTTATTTCTGACAAGATCATATATACATATTTGGTGTGTTGTAGTCTTATCATTTTTTTTTTGTTTAAATAGTCTTATCATTTTCTTTCAACAGATTCCTCAAAAAGAATTTGATTTCTTTGAGATATTTAGCTGGTGCATGTAGTAGAAACCGTCTAAAACAAAAAAAAAAGATGGGTGGTTGCGTTTCTTCACAAAGAAAACTCAGCAACAAGCTTAATCAAAAGAAGCATAAACATGGTGGGAGACCTGCCAAATGCCGATCCAAAATCTCGGCTTCGATGCCTGATGTTCCTATGAAACGCATGAGCAATGCAAGCGTCAGGGATTTTGTTCATCTTGATTTCGAAAATGGTGCAGCCAAGATGATGTGTAAGAGAGCTGAGATGACTAATGCTAACTTCCATTTAACTCAGCTTCAATGGAACTGCCAATTCGATGGAAACCGTAAGAAACATCTTCAGAAGAAATAATCTCAAAAAACTTGAATATGTTTTTGTTAAATCTGATTATATTTTCAGGAATGTCACATGAGGAAGCTTGGTATGATTCATTTAGTTACATTGACTCTGAGTCTGATGATGGATCAAATAATAGTGTCTTCGAAGGTAAAACATTATATAGCTTAAGACATTGGTTTTTGAATTAAAGATTGTAACATGCTATCTTTCTTGCAGATGCAAACCCTTCTGGAATGGGACAAGTGATTCAATATGAAGAGTTCTATGAGAGTTACTTGAAAATAGATGGGAACAAAGCTGAGACATACTCAAGCAAGAATGAAGTTAGCATAAAGAGAAACCAAATTGCTGATGAATCTCACCAAGAAACCATCAAGACTACTACTTGTCAAGAACTTCAAGATCACAATAAGAGATCGTCAAAAGTTGTTATGGTTTCGGTTAGAAGAACATCTATTGATAGAAAATCAACATCATCTGAACTCTGTAAGAAAAAGAATCAAAGTATCTTTAGAGTTTCCATCTTTTTCTGATTATTTATGTCTTTGTAACTTCGTATCAGACCGACCAAAAGCCGGTTCTGTGATTCAACGTTCATTGGGAGAGAAGCTGACCAATCAAGCAAGCTGGTCAGAACTTTCTCCAGCGAGTTTCAAGCTCCGTGGACTTAACTTCTTCAGGTTAGGATTCAAGAAAATAGACTAAACAGTTTTTGGTTGATCAAATCTAATTGTATTTGTTTGTATCATCTTGCAGAGACAAACAAAAGAATCCAGCACCAAACTGTAGTCCTTATACATCAATTGGAGTCGATCTTTTCGCGTGTCCTAAGAAGATAAACCACATTGCTCAACACATTGAGCTCCCTAACTTGAAACCGTCACAAGTCTGTGATGTCCCCAACATCTTGATTGTGAACATCCAGCTTCCAATGTATCAAACCTCTATGTTTGGTGAGTATGATGGTGAAGGACTTAGCTTAGTCCTATACTTCAAACTGAATGAGAATTATCACAAAGAGATCTCATCTCACTTTCAAGAAACCATCAAGAGGTTTATGGATGATGAGATGGAGAAAGTGAAAGGATTCACAAGAGAATCAATAGTGCCATTCAGAGAGAGGTTGAAGATCATGGCTGGTTTGGTGAATCCTGAGGATCTTCAGCTAAGTTCTACTGAGAGAAAACTTATCACAGCTTACAATGATAGACCTGTTCTTTCTCGTCCCCAACATGATTTCTTTCAGGTTAGATAACATATCTTAGCTATTTTAAGACTTCATTACTAGAGCTTTGTGGTGATGTTATGTGCATTTTGGACACAGGGACCAAACTACTTTGAGATCGACTTGGATATACACAGATTCAGCTACATATCCAGGAAAGGACTCGAATCTTTCAGGGACCGGATCAAGAATGGTGTTCTTGATCTTGGTTTAACCATTCAGGTACTTGAAATAATCTGTTAGGTCTATTTGTTTTTTAGAGTGTTTCTCAAGTAACCTTTTTGCTCTTTTTTCTGAGACAGGCTCAATCACCAGAGGAACTTCCAGAGCAAGTACTGTGCTGTGTCAGGCTGAACAAGATTGATTTCGTGAATCACGGACAGATCCCAACGCTTTTAACTAACAAACAATGATGAGTTTCAACATCTAAGAGACAAAAGCAAAACAATACATATTTGTATTAAAGAGATATTAAGTACAAATCAATGTCTTTTTTGGAATCCATAGAAACAAGATTTGTTTTTGACATATATTTATCTCAAGAAAAATATTCATTTGTACAGATGTGACAAATTCTTTCTCCATTATTCAAAAATTCATGAAAAATAACAATGAGATTGCTCAGTACATTTCATCAAACAATGACTATGAGAGAAACAAGCCAAAGCAAGTAGGTCAATAATGTAGTATAATAAACAAAAGAAACACACAACAGTTATAGTGTTACAACAAATAATCTCATCCACAAATTTTATAACCTATGCTTTGAAACAATAACACAAAAGCTTCATCATGTACAAAAGAATTCACATACAGAAAATCTGAAAAAACCTAAAAAGCTTTTAAGTTTTTACTCTTTCTTTCCTGTAAACTGCTAAAAGACCTGTTCAACTTCAACCAAAAGATTCCACCAATGTTGCAAGCTTTGTCATGAAAAAAGATCAGAATATAACTTGAGTTGATAAGAGTTCTCATCTCTTATATGATTTGCTCTTCTTTCAGCCTTAGACGAGCAACAGGCTGCTGATTTAAATTAGCCAAACCGCCATGTCGATTCTCTGGCCTTAACTGTGCTGCTGCTGCTGCGGCATGGCTGCTTGATTTAGATGCAGGAAGGTCATGGTTATGTTTTCCTTCATATGTTGTTACAACAGCTTTTGGATCTGTTGCTGCTCTCTCTACATGTTTCCTTACTCCACATCCTTGTGTTGTGCACTTGTAGTAACTCCTATGGATCAAAAGTGAACATTTAACAAGAATGTTCCAAAAAATAAACTAATGTTTTCGTGTATAACCTCGGATAAGGATTCCCTTTCACCACTTTCTGTCCATATTTGCGCCACCTGTATCCATCATCCAAGAGATCAACTTCACTTGTCGTTTGGACAATAATTTTAGGCTCTGTCACAGTTCTATGTGATGCAGACACAGCAGCAGCTGGTTCTATACTTCTGCACATTCAAATATCTCTCACATCAGAAACTGAACTATCAATCATCAGAGCATATAACTTTACCTTCTCTTGGGTTCAGGCTCGTCATCAGCTCTCTCATTACCGACTTCTTCGCTGTCACTAGCCTCAGACATTTGTTCTGTAGTAGCTTGACTCGCTGCTTCATGTTGTTCCCTCTTACTCTTGTTGAAGCTATTGTTGTTATTAACCGAAATCCCATTTAGATTACTTTCTTTGTTGTTGTTGTTGTTGCCTCGCTTAGTGTTCTGAGGAGGTTCATGATTGTGCTGACCCTTGTAGATGATTTCAGTTACTTGTCCATCAAGAGATCTCTCAACCTTCTTCTTGACAGGACATCCAGGATTGGTGCACTTGTAATAGCTTCTAGGAAACTCACTGCCTTTAACTTGCTTTTGTCCGTATTTTCGCCAGTTATAGCCATCATCAGCTGGCTTGTCAACGTTTAGAGACTGCTGTGACCTCTGCTCAAAGATGGTGGTACTTGAGGTTTCTCTTGGAGCTGGTAGTGAAGAAGACTCCGGAGCTGATGAAAATGGTTGAGCCTGAGAGGAAGGAGGGTACTCGGTTTGTTGTTGCATATTGGCATTGGCTTGAACTGCTTGCGCTGTTACTTGTGCTAGAGCTTGCTGATGTGTCATTCCATATGATCCCTGCACATTGTTACATGGTTTAGATTCTAAATCACCTTACTAAAAGAAAAGAGCATATCACATAGGACTAGGAATCTCTTAGATATGGCAATCATAAATCTTGATGAAGATTTCTATATAAAAAACCTATGAGGAAGCCAAAATCTTGATGAGTAAATTGATCCACAAGCACCTTTCTTTCTCTGAAAGTTTCTACCTTTCAATACAGTTAAGCTGAAAAGTTGCCCAAATTTCTCTAATAAAACCTTAATTCAAACTATAATAATCTGATTTAAAAGTTTTTTCCTTTCTATCTATCTACCGGCAAAATGGTTATTACAAGTCTATGATATGTTGGAAATGGAATTTACATAAAGAGCAGCCAATTAAGCAAACAAACAAGAAACAACTCAACATAGAAAGCCATTAATTTTCAGTTTCCATAAATAGATTTTTAAACTTTAACCCCAAAAAACAGAATTATATTATGCTTGAAATCTATCTTGAACCTGAATGGGAGAGAAAAGACCCAAGAAGCTCGGTGAATCCAGCCGCATCGCCGGACTTAGCCCAGGTGGTACTGTGAACATCGTCGACGGTGACTGAGAAATCATCAAACCGGTGGGTCTGCTCTGCTTGAATCTCGGGTCAACATCACCACCGCTCGAGCTATTATTTCCATCTTCACTAGCCGCCCTCGCGGCGGATGCAGCTGCTGGAGAAGCCATGGCTCCGGCGAGGAGCTGAGAGAAAGACCTAAACTCATCGGACTCGGGGAACATGTTTGAGACAAGAGTCATGGGACCAGGACTGAATCCAACGCCGGCGTTAAAGAACATCTCACCAAAGGGGCGTGGAGGTAGAGATAAAGTGGGTCGCGACGGAGCTCCGGTGGACTTAGATGTCGACGGGAGTTCTTCCTTTTCCGACATCGATCCCCAAAATAATCAGACAGAACAAAAAAAGGTTTAAAGTTTTTGTTTTCTCGCAGTATAAAAAAAAGTCCACGCTGCAGATATGTAAAACAATCTCTCTTTCTTTCTTCTTTCTCCTCTCTCTCATACTTAAATTCATTTTTTTTTTAATTCATTAAATTAATCAAATTTACACTTTAGTTGAGTAATGTGCAGAAATGAGAACACGTTGTCCGAAATTGATCTTTTGATTACAGTTTGGGTTTCACCTTTTTTACAAAAAGCGTCGGTATTGGATTGTACGATGAACCTGGAGTGAAGAGGCAAAGGACAAGGCCACAGCTACTCCACGTTGTCTGAAAATTCGGTAGTGGCAGTCTAGGTTGCATGGAAACTCCGTTCAAAGTCTGTTTCCTGTTTCGGAAACGTTTCGGAATCGAAACCTCTTAGAAACTCGAGGAAACTCTTTGGAAACACGTTTCTTGAAAATTTCATTTTGGAAACACGATAGAAACTTGTGTTTCTGATTTGGAAACTCGCGTTTCTAATTTGGAAACTCGCGATTCTAATTAGAAACACAAAAATAACTATTTGACATTTGATGTTAATGATTATATGTTTATCATTTTATATTTTAATATTATCTTTTGATATTTGTTATCTTTTTAGTAGAATGATTTGATTTGAAATGAAGTCGCTCCATACTTTTATCGAATGATAACATGTGTTACTTTTCTAGTTATTGATTATAATTTTAATAAAATGTACAAAAAATACTTATATTACTTAATATTTTCTCTTAGATAAATTAAACAAAAAAAAGCTCACATGTTGATTAATCATACATATATATATATATATATATATTATAGACGTTTCTAAAACGTTTCCATTTCTAATTTTTTTGAAAATCATGTTTCCACGTTTCGAAACGTTTCGTTTCCACGTATATGTTTCCGATTCCATGCAACCTAGGTGGCAGCTGGCATTCCTTTGTCAAGGCCCATATTATATCTTAATGGGCTGTTTAATAGCCTAATCATATGATTTGTCTAGAGTAAGTATATACATATTACTTTTAGTACATGTAAATATAGATGGTTACATATTATTTCTTAAAAAAAAATTAATGTGAAAGCAAATGATTTTTTTTGTGATTCACTTTATTTAGGTGGACTTTTGGGTGTGTATTTGTAAAAAGAGGAAACGTGAGGTGGGGGAAATAAAGCAATCTAGAAACATGACTTTTGAAGAGACATTTGACTTTTGAAGAGCAAAAGATAATATTAGTAAACATTCTTATTCTTATGAAGTATGTGGGTGGGACACACGTAGGTCGTAGAGGTACTAATCTTTGGTTATATTACCACATAACGTAAGTTTCTAACTATACGCACGAGCCACGACTTCGCTCACAATGGCAATAAGCATTGTTGGTGAGGTTGACATTTTAGTAAAGAACTAATAACAAAGTAAAGAGCTTCATAATAAAGGCAAGAAAGATAGAGAGAGAGTCACATAAATTATAATTAAAAGGTCCGTAAAACAGGTGACTTCCTCTATGATTGTTGATAGAGAATAGGTTTTGTAGTATTCACTTGGACCAATGTCCTTGAGGGCATTTAATCTGTTCTTCCCAACATGGCTGACATCACAATGTAATCTGTTCTTCCTCGACCTTTGATGACAGTGTGACGGTTCTTACGGATGCTTCCAGATTGTTGGGGGTATGTTTTGGACGCTCCGGCGTCGTTAGACTCAAAACGATGCTCCTCGTCCAACATAGTTGCACCTAAAATGAAAGTGTGACGGTGCGCTTACTTCTGGGCTTTTATACCAAAGGCCTTTATAGGGCCTCTTTATTCCTCTTTACTTTTGTTCTTATAGAAACTGAGATGGGCTTAAAGCCTTAGAGATAACAGAGCGTTTCTGCACCGTTGGATTACATGATTTGACTTGATTAATTACTTCTTCTAAAAAACCAGATTTAATCTTAATCCTAATTAGATCATAGCCCACCCGACTGGACGGGTCTTTGTTTTTATGATATCTATAACATTTCAAAATTACAATTTAATGGTTCCAATTTTACTAAGTAATAGTATACTGTCTAAACATTGTATTTTATCACTGTATTGTGTAACAGAGGCGTCGTAAAATGTTGTGACCCGTAAATATTTTAATAATAGTTTATAAATTTTTTTTGGCTAAATTTGGTGCAAAGTTATATACATTAAATAATTTAGTCAAATTTTTAAGTTAATTCTTTAATGAAGAATTGGAAGGCTAGTATATCACTCTTAAAAACTTATAACAATAGTCAATATAAATTATATAAATAAAATATATAGTATTCTTGATTTATTCCAAGTATATTTAAAACATGAATACATATATGTATAAATAATTTTCAAAAATAAAGTAATATAAATGATAGAAAACACAAAAACAATAATAATAGTACATTGGGCCGCAGTAATCTTTATTTTAATAAATAAACTCATTAGATTTGTAAGCTATCCTATCCTTGTTTCCAATCATCATAATTTAAAATATTTCATATTTATGTTTCCAAACACTTAACTTTTTGTACTTCAGCTTTAATAGTATAGATTCTTTTTTGTCCTTTTATCAATAACCATACGTTATAAGAAGATATATTGTATCATTAACGGGAATTTTGTGAAACCCAGAACTAGAGATGTAACAAAAGCATATAACCAAAGGTTTGCTATCATGTAGAATACACGCATATTAGAGACAAGCAACCGTGGTCTCTAGTAAATACACTTCAAGCTTTTCATGTCGGTTTACAAGATTTTTTTCTACGAGATTCTGCTTATACCTACTCTGTATAACTCGCAACGGTTTACGTGACGTACTTACACGTTAAGTACCTCGTCTGATATCAAAATGTCGAAAGTACCCTTTCATTATGGTTACTGAGAAAGATAGCATCTTTTCCCTTTTTCACTCGTCTTTGTCGACAACATTCGGTGATTGGTCCTTTCAATTTCTAAATAATAGCATCACGAATTAGCCGTACACAAGCCAGTGAAAAACGATGGAATATCTAACCTAATTTAAACAGAATGAACCAGTTTAATTTAAATGATCAAAATGAACTTTGGTTCTAAATAAATATATTAGATTACTGAAAACCAAAGAATGTTTATGACATAATTGCTTAATAAAAAATAAAAGTAAATGTAGAATATAATTTTAAGTTGCATGTGGCATAAATAGATCACCAGCTACACCATGCATTACCGTCTCTGGTAATTCCGTATAAAAACATATCTTGGTTAATGTATGAACATTTTGTATCTACATAATTATCCCAACATTATCAAAAATTCGAAAGCTAAAAAGGCAAATGCTTTTTTCGGTGATCTAGCCCAAACTATATATTTGGTAACGGGCTTATTATCATCAATCTTACTATAATGGGAAAAAAAGCAAAAGGAAAACAAAAAAAAGACAGGGGAAAGAAACACACAAAATCATGTGGATTGTATGCTTAGCAGTTTACCAAGAATCCATCAATAATAAAATTGTTGTAAAATCATTTACATAATCAATAATTCACTCTACATGTCATGAATGGGTACCATTTAAGATTGTTTTTAGATAAGAATGATTTTTGTTGTTGTTTGTAAACGAAGCATTGCGGACCAAGAAACTATACACTATCTAATTCCACCATATGTAAAAACCCTGCTTAATAGTATTAGCTTTATTCCACATCCAATGACTAATTATTGATTAAAACGCGGTTAAGAAACTCGAGAATTGGTCACTAAAACACTACAAAATTGTTATTATGTCTGGCTCAGTTGCATATTCGCATGTGTTCTAATTAAATTTCAAACTGGCCAATAATTTTGACATAATAATTTTCACTAAATCCGTCACTAAGACAACTCTTTTTTTTAACATACTAAGACAAATCTTTTGAGTTAGTTTTGATGGATACGGATAACTACTATCCAAAATGGATTTAGTTGCACGTAGTTAGAATCAATTTAGCCGCAATATAGGCTTTTGGAAAAACGTTTGTATAACGACTATCAAAAGCACAACTATCAAATGTTGACCTACCGATTTTTCAATTAGCGTAATTAGTAATTTTTTTTTCTTTGCTATGGCATTCGTTTCTCATGAAATTGCGATAGCTAATCTTGTTCCTGCTGAGTGTTTTTAAATGTTTTTAGGATATTTAGAAACCATTAAACTTCATAGGCAGAATGGGATTCAAGCTAACAACTTATATCAATCTGTTCATTATTCATTTACTGATATTCTTCAGTCTTAGAAAAAAATGTTTGTTTTTCTCTCAAACATTTTGCCTATAATAAAAGAAGAAGAAAAACAAAAATTGTTACAGATCTCGATTAGCCATAGATTTTATTGGAATCTACTTTTTTCAGGCTACAATAGGATAATTAAATGCTAAGGTCATTGCTTTGTGTGGACAAGCATGGTTTGTCTACGTTCTAGATGCTTTTCAAAAATTGATGCAAACTTTTAGAAAGGGACTATCTTTATGTAACAAAGAAATTATTTAACCAGAGCTAGTAAAATATCATAGTCTAAAAAACTTGACGTTAAAGACGAGAGGGGATTTTAAATAATTTTTTTTTTTGTAAAAGGGGATAGAGGGGAGCTAGTGGGAGACGAGTGGCAAATAATTTACCTTTCAAACACCATTTTTATTTTGTTTTAATAATCAGAGGATCAAATATATTTCGGATCAATGATATGCAGAATGACTAACGTTAGAGTAACATATAATTTTATAGATATATAAACCACCATATATATTTTTTTTTTATAAAAGGCTTTAACCACCATATTTTTGTAGAATGATGATTTACGAATTATATAAACCACCATATTTTGTAGAATGATGATTTACGAATTATTGGTATTTTTAAAACAAAGGTTTTTTTATTCGCTAGTGCATATGACTAATTTAAATTTCGATTCACCAGTGTTCTCAGTTAAATTTAATCTTGAAAGACTTCTATAATAAGTTTTCTTCTTAATAAAAAAGACTTCTATAATAAGATTTTTTTTGACCAGAACAAATATTGAAGAAAAATGACAGTTGCATACTTGCATGTGTAAATATATATATTTATGGAATTTTGTTTTCTCTTTGATTCTCTGTGAAATCAATCTAGTGGGACACACCAGAAGAACTATGATAGGACCCTTGACTAATACTCAGCTAATAAATCTTAATTTATTTTTCTGATGAGAGTGACATTTCCGAAAGTATACTTTGGACCACTTTTAAGGTCTATTCCCAACTTATCTTGAACCCAATAAAAGCATTAAAACCATTGAGATATGTACATATATCTTATAAATAATACATCGCCTTGGATCTATTATTTGAGTCATCGAGTTATTTTTAATAATTTATTTTAATCTAGTAATAACTTTATAATAAAAGATGTTGTATCGGGCTGCTGAAGCTTAAACCCAGTATCATTAAATTCCTCTTGTTCTTTCATAATTCTCTAATTCTGCGTTTTAGTCAGTTTTTAAAGAACAGAGTTTTTAAAAAACTAGATTTATCTTCTTGGCAAAAAGAAAAAAACATCGTTAACTTAACGCATATAGACCTACCATGTGTTATTAAAACTGTATCCCTGTATTTATTTTTTGCGTTTAGTATTGTTCTTGGATTCGAAAAATTTTAAATGAGAAGGTTTAAATTTTCAGATGTTACCGGAACATACAAATATGGAATTAACCATGTGGGTTTGTGACACAAGAGACGGAACAAAATGATGCCATTCCACAAACACGAGAGCCCAAGAGGGTAGCTTAGTTTTTTTTTGACCGAACACACATTATTTTAAAATTTTAAACGAATTCAAAATTTTGTGGGTATGCGAGGAGTAAAACATTATAAGAAATTGCAAGAAATTAATACTTTCTTGCATATATTCACAGCCTTTCTAAAAGAGGTTTGGTCACGTCGATCGTAAAGTGTAATCATTTTGTCACTCAAATTTTCACATTATTATTACATTATATGTGTCCTGATAATAGAATTCCAACCAGTTTTGATACCAAACCATCTTTAAAGATAAAAATCTCAGGCCTCAGGGACTCATGATTAAAAACATGTTTTTTGCTTGATCACTAGATGAAGACTTAAAGATGGATACCAAAATATAATTGTGTGATATTATGAAGAACTTATGTATTAATCTTGAATAGATTGTTTTTGTCAACGTTTGTGTATTTATTTTGAACAGACAACATGCTGTTATATAAAATAGCTTATTATCGAGTAAAAATAAAATGAAACTCTTGAAACTCCTGTTTGTTAAAATACACGAAAATATGCTGTATTTATAACAAATATCCAATCTTCGTTTGAAATTTTAATTTTACTAGGATCTCCAATCAAATTTCTTCTTCTTAGTGAAAAAAACGTTTGCTAATCTAATAAAACTTTAAATATTTTGATTTTACCAATTGTTAAAAAAATATAATAAAACTTCTCGTATATAAAATAAAATCTGATTCTCCAGTAGCCAACGCGAGTAGACGTACAGATTTCAGGTGGGACCTACAATCTCTTTGATGTCAATAGTATATTATTAATTACAGCTTTTTAAATGATACTGTATTTTTGAAAAAATATTTAACGCAAACAACAAAATAGGAAAACAAAGGATGCGTAATTAATGGACCAAGGATTTACGAAATTTTATCCATGACAACATGTCCGTTTTGGATTTTCAGTTATCTATTTTATATACCATCATATGGTAAACAACATTTAAATACAACATACATAAAAATAGTATTTATATAGTTTTCAAAAGGTGAAACCAACTAGATCACTTAATCTAGACATATGTCGCCATAAACCCATTTCTTATTTTATTTAAAATGCAATAATTTATGTTAAAAAGGACAGGAGTTATTACATTAAAACAAAGTACAACAAAAAAAAAGAGTGAAGAAAGAAAGAAAGAGAGAATAAAAAGGAAAGGGAAGAGAAGAGGGGATGTTGACAAATAAACTCAGGTCTCGTTTGTTTATGTGATTTTGGGATCTTTCCTTTTCTCTCTATAAACACAACCAAAGGAAAGCATACAAAGAAGAAGAAGAAAAAAAATAAAAGAGGTTTCTTTTTTTTTTGGTGAGACAGAGAGAGAGAGAAGAGTGGCCCAGTAGATCGAAGATGATGACGATTTTATTTTTTCCATTAATGATGTTTACCCTATAAACAGAGATTATAGATTCCAAAATTTTCTTTTTTTTCAGAGTTTTTTTCTTCTTCTTATAATTTCACTTTGTTGAAACTTGTAAAGTCTTCATTTTTTGTTTGTTTGATCTTCTGAAGAGAGTTGGCGATAAGAGGATGTGTGTTTGAGGTAAATAAATAAATACTCATTTTTTTTTTAACTTTGTTTAATGATTTGGAGATTTTTCAGTTTAGAATCTGCTCAATTCTCAATTTGGTACAATCATGTCCTTATTATTTTTTGCAGATTCTTTGTAAATCCTACTTTAGATTTCGACTTGCTTTTTTTTTTTTTTTTGTTTTCTTCAAGATCCTATATTGACTCGTCTGCGTAAGAACTCAGACGACCTTTAGTTATCACTGAGTCAAAACCCTTGTCTGAAAAAACCTCATCAGCACTTGTTTCTTCTGCTATATGTTTGACTTTTAAGCTACGGTCTAAAAAGGCTAATCTGATTGAGCTCAGGGAGTTGTTTTTACTGATGAAAATGTGGTTAATACTTGTTGTTTGTGTTGATTTAGGATTTGAGGATAGTTCCATTGTCTTTTGAATCAGATTTGTAACTGTCTCTGGTCCAAGACTTTAAAAGTTTTTTTTTTTTGTGTGTGTGTGTGTGTGAGTAGGAATGGGAACAAAGGTGCACTGTGAAAGCTTATTCCCTGGACATCAACATCACTCTATGAGAGATCTCAACAACGAATCCAACGGTTGTAGATGGCCATTGTTCTATGCTGACAAGAAAGCCTCTGCGAATGATCAATTCTACAATGACAAAGATGTGGTGAGAAGGACAATGCTTGAACACGAAGCCGTTTTTAAGGCACAGGTTAGTTAGTTACTTAGTAGAGGATTTTTTTCTCTGTGTTCTCTAGTCTTTTCAGCTTCTGGTTGATTTATATATTTGTGCATTTTTCATCATTAAACCAGGTTTTGGAACTTCACCGGGTATACAGGATACAGAGAGATATGATGGATGAACTGAAAAGGAAACAGTTTAATAAAGAATGGTTTCCAAACGAGGCATCATGTTCATCTCAAGCTACTAATGATGATCTCCGTAAATGGAAAATGCCTAGCTTCCCTTTAGCAAACTCGGTTTACGATATACCATCGATGTCGGTAGTGGAGGATAATGGCAATTCTCCCATGAAAGGAAGCTATTCTCAAGGGGTCATTGGTCCTGTTCCATGGCAGAATGGTGCTAGCTCCAAGAATGTTGAAACGTTGGAGGTTAGACCGACGAAAATCAGGAGAAAGATGATAGATCTTTGTCTTCCTCCGGATGATGAGTACATTGATGATAATCAAGAAGTTGTAGAGTTGAAAGACAACAGGGTTAGTCAGCTTCCTAATGGAGATGTGAAGACTGGGTATGGGTCAAGTAGTAGAAGCAATGGCTTGGCTGATTTGAATGAACCATTTAAGGGTCAAGAAACAAATGAGTTTGCTAGCCATATTCGTGACTACGGGAAAGTTTTGAACTCAGGCAGTGTAAGGGAGCATGCTCCTGTTATCTCTCTGCAGCCACATCAGCCCTTAAGAATTGGTAAGATGATCCACCAAGTTGATCATAATAGTGGCATACATAAGTCTGCTACTCCATTTCATCAACCTGCCAAGCCACTGTTGGATTCATCTTCTCAGCATATGCAAGTTTTTATGAATAGTTCTCAAAGAGTAATGGGTTTACCTAATCCTGGTCCTTCAAGTAAGGCAGTCTTGTGGAAAGAAAGGACGTTTATTGACCTAGAAGCTGATACTGATACTAACACTAGTCATGAAGTTGCTTCTCATCAACCACGCCATTTGTATCCATACAATTCTCCAGATTCTTCTGTCCCTTGGAACCATATGCATTCTTCTTGGCAAAATCCTAGCCTTGTCTTCCCTCAGAGAGTTGCTTCAGAGCAGAGGTACCCGGTTAATGTTCAGAAACAAGGGGGGCTCGGAGATAGATTACAGTTTGAAAGCAATGCTAGATATAACTCAGGGTGTGGGAACAACAACCACAACATGTTTAACAATGAGTGCTCTTCTTCTTCATCGAAATCGAAATTCTCTGGGACTGGCTATACTGCTTATCCTAACGGAGGAAGAAGTGATTACAGGCCGGGAAAACCATCGTTGGAATCAAATGGCTCGGAGGTGAAGTTTGTGAGAGATTTGAACTTGAATGTGACACTTTTTTCAAACACTTCTGTTGTTGAAGTCAGAAAGGACGAAGAAGAACGTCTAGCTACTTTACCATGGCTTGTTAAACCCAAGTCTACTTGTAACTCTGAGGTGGCTGATGTGAGACAGAATCAGAGGAGTATTGGTGCTGTTCAGAGGGAGGCAGAGACCGAGAAGATCAACACTAACTTGAACATTCCTAGAGATGAATGCAATGCAGAAAGAGGTAAAGTTAGGATGATGCTAGACATCAACGAACCGTGTGAACCACTTTCAGATGCAGATGAGCAAATGGAGGAACAGACCGGGACAAAGGTTTCGGTTAGTAATAAGTGTCATATTGATTTGAACATGTCGGTTAGTGAAGAGGAAGAAGATGAAAACTGGTCTGTTCCTACTAGTTCAAGACTGACTTCAAAGACACTCATGATAGATTTGGAAACTGTTCCTGAGTCTGATGTTGAAGAAGAAGAAGATGATGTCTCTAGAGAAAAACCTCCAGAAGAGTCCCCAACACTTGAGAAACAGCCAGAGTTTGAAAAAACAGCAGCAGAGACAATAGTTGCCATCTCTTTAACTTGCTTCAATAGAGAGCTTGAAGCTGTTGTTGCTTCATCAGAAACAATCATCCTTCACTGGTTTGCAGAAACAGTAGACACTCACAGAGACAATCTAGACCAAAAGCTCGCTTCTCTCTCAAGGAACCAACAACGTTCCATCGAAGAGATAGACTACTTCGAGTCAATGACCTTACAACTACCTGAGACCACAGAAGAAGACTACATGCCTAAGCCATTAGTCCCATCAGACCTCATATTACAGGAAACCTCTGCAGTCACAAGCCACCAAAGACCAAGAAGAGGAAACGCTAGAAAAGCAAAACAAAGACGAGACTTCCAAAGAGACATACTCCCTGGACTTTTGTCTCTTACGAAACACGAAGTAACAGAAGACATTCATATGTTTGATGGGTTCATGAGAGCAGCAACGGGTAGCTCCTGGACTCCAGCGAGGAAGAAAACCGGGTCAAGAGGAAGACCGAGACGGGTCGTTACAGTTCCTGAACCGGTTTATTATCCTTCGGTTCAGCAACATGTGGGGAACAATGGTGAGGTTGAAGATAGAAGCTTTGCAGGTTGGGGTAAAATGACAAGAAGGCCGAGGAGACAACGTTGTCCTCCTCCGCCAACTGTAACTACTACTACAAGTAACCAACGTCACGCGCCTTTCACGTGATAAATTTGTAACCATAATATTATCATTCCTGTCTGATTTTTTCCAAACGTCGTCGTATAGAGATATAATAGACTGTTTTTCATCGAGAATTTTTCTTTAAAATTTTCGCTTGGTGATATAGATGAAAATTTGATAAAAAAAAAAAAGATATAGATGAAAATATTTTATTCAAATAATAATCACTTTGTATTATGATGACAGGTCAAACCGAGTTTTAAATTGGTTTATATATAAAAAAATTCCAATTCGGTTGAGTTCAGTTCACATAAACAATGTATGGGCCAACGTCAGTAAAAAGGCCTCTATAACTTTAGAAATATAAGGCCCAAACTTGTTGCGTCCCGTATCGTGGGGTCATAATCATCTCCTACATGTTTAGACCGTCCGATCAAATATATCTTCTGAATAGTTTGTGAATATCTTAATTACCTTTCGCGTCCTCCATTAACAGATATTAGTAATAAGTTCCCATAAATTCTGAGTCACTTCGAAAAGCCCTAAACCCCAAACATCATCCCCATCGTTAGTGAACAACAATGTTTCGTCGTAGCTCTTGCAAGCTTCCACGGTCAATCTCTCTCCTCACCTTCCTTCTAACTTCATTTCGCAAGATTTTTAATTTTCGATTGAAATTTAAAAAATTGCAGTTGGGGTAGAAAATTCAGCAGCAAATCTGAGGAGACAACGAGTTCGAACTATTCATTCACAGAAGCCACTTGTATGCAACATTGGCGTAAAAACTGGGAAAGCAAGAGAAGGAACCGGTTAACATCGAGTACATTCGCTCAAGCCATCGGGTTCTGGCCAAACCGTAGAGTCCAACTCTGGTTAGAGAAAATCGGAGCTAAAGAGCCGTTTTCAGGAAACGCGGCCACGTGCTGGACCAAGATCAAAGAGCTTGAAGCACTCAATCGTTACCACGTTTTAACGGGACACGACTTTGTCTTCCCCGAGTTCGTCACTTCACAAGAAGACTGGTTAGGAGCTTCACCAGATGGAGACATGTACGGTTTGGTCAACAGAGGAATGCTCGAAGTGAAGTGTCCGTACGGAGAGGCTTATCCGTGGAAGAAAGTGCCGTGGCATTATGTGCCACAAGCTCAGGGGTTGATGGAGATTATGGGGAGAGATTGGTTGGATTTGTATTGTTGGACTGTTAATGGGAGTAGTCTTTTTAGGATTGAGAGAGATTCTTTGTTTTGGAGGGAGATGAAACCAACGCTTGTTGATTTTTGGGAGAGGCATGTTGTTCCTGGGAGAGACAGGTTTAGTGATGGTTCTATTGTAATAACAGATCCTTTGGTGGAGCTGGTAGAGTTTGTGCCTGAATCTAGACATGAACGGTGTAATCAGATTTTGCGTGGGACTGAGAGGATTATGGATCACTCTTGTAAGCGTTTGTTTTATGAAATTAATGGCCAGATCTTAGACTGATACCAAACTCTCTCTGTTACTTCAACTGTATTATTGTATTTAACTTGTTCATTGGCTAATCATTTTAAAATTTGGTTTATAAACACCACAATTTTTGTACACCAACCTGATATTGGATGAGAACTATTTTTACATCCACAGTGGCGTCCTTAATTATTTAGATGCTTAAAACAATATGAAAATTATAAAATATCTATAATTGATTTGATTAATTGTATGATATATACTTATTTGATAAAATTTTAATTACACAAATTATTTTATATTAATTTATTGACTAACATTTTATTTTTTATAATTTGAATGGGTAAATAAAATTTGGGTCCAAATGATTATGCTGGGATTAATATCTTTATATAGGCCTAGTAAGGCCCATATGTTGAAGAGGCCCATGTAGAGAGAAGGTGATACTAATACGTCATAAATCACTATAATCCAACTGAAACATCAAACCATAAACACCGTCGTGTGAAACAGTGTTTATATCTTTGTCTCCGACTCTCCAGCTAGAATTAACTTTTTTTACTTTCCTCCGTTGCGTCTCATTAAACGCCATGATCTTCGACTTCTCCATCTCCATCTTCATCCTCTCTCTCCTCGTTTCCTCATCCAACGCCAAACCAACCTTAACCATCTCCCCGAAAACTCTAAACCGATCCGGCGACACCGTCCTCATCAAATGGTCCAACCTCGACTCTCCCTCCAACCTCGACTGGCTCGGCATCTACTCACCACCAAACTCCCCTCACGACCACTTCATCGGCTACAAATTCCTCAACGCCTCACCCACATCCAAACAAGGCTCCGGCTCCATCTCCCTCCCTCTCACAAACCTCCGAGCAAACTACACATTCCGTATCTTCCGTTGGACGCAACCCGAGATCGACCCGAAACGCATGGATCACGACCAGAACCCTTTGCCGGGGACGAAGCATCTTCTGGCGGAATCGGAGGAGGTGAGTTTCGGGTCCGGTGTAGGGATGCCGGAGCAGATTCATTTGGCCTTTGGGGATAAGGTTATAGGATGCGGGTTACGTTTGTGGCGGGGGATGGAGAGGAACGGTTTGTGAGGTATGGGGAGGGGAAGGAGATGTTGGGGAATTCAGCTGCGGCGCGTGGGGTTAGGTATGAGAGAGAGCATATGTGTAATGCTCCGGCGAATTCTAGTATAGGGTGGAGAGATCCTGGGTGGATTTTTCATAGTGTTATGAAGAATTTGAATGGTGGCGTTCGGTACTATTATCAGGTAAGATAATCTGAATCAAAAGGTTATGTCTTTATTTTGAAGTAGGTGTCATATGTAAGAACAGTAAAGGTTATGTCTTTAGGACAGATGAAGCTATGGTGTGATGTAAGAACATCAAACTTTATGTCTTTAGGACAGATGAACATCAAAGGTTTATGTCTAAGGTTCAAGAAATCGCTGCGCTCGACTAGTAGGATTGATTATTTCGGTCTAGGAGAGGCTTACCTTAACAAATTATTGATTTATTTTATATTATCTTACAATACTGTAGTTTTTGAGTTTAATTATAAAATTATTTTGATGAATTATAAATATAATACAAAATAAATTAGATAAATTTGTACATTTCTTCTAATATTATTGCAAAATATTATTGCTTAATTTTACAGAGCTGACTAATTTAGTTTGTTTTAGACAGATTTTAACTAATTTAGAATGATTTAAACCGATTTTCCTATTTTAGGCTATGACAACTATATAGACGACGCCTAGACCGATTTATAGAACATTGGTTGTGTTTTATGACATTTTATGTTATGTCTTTGTAACAGGTTGGGAGTGATTCAAAGGGATGGAGTGAGATCCATAGCTTTATCGCTCGTGATGTCTACGCAGAAGAAACCATTGCTTTCATGTTTGGAGACATGGGTTGCGCTACACCTTACACTACCTTTATCCGTACACAAGACGAGAGTATATCCACAGTGAAGTGGATTCTCCGTGACATTGAAGCTCTTGGTGACAAGCCAGCTCTTGTTTCACACATTGGTGATATAAGCTATGCTCGTGGTTACTCCTGGGTGTGGGATGAGTTCTTTGCTCAGATCGAGCCTATTGCCTCGAGAGTTCCTTACCATGTCTGTATCGGTAACCATGAGTATGATTTCCCTACTCAGCCTTGGAAACCGGATTGGGGAACTTATGGTAATGATGGTGGTGGTGAGTGTGGTGTGCCGTATAGTCTTAAGTTTAACATGCCTGGAAACTCATCAGAACCCACCGGAACCAAAGCTCCTCCAACAAGGAATCTATATTACTCTTATGATATGGGGTCTGTTCATTTCCTTTACATCTCCACTGAGACGAACTTTCTCAAAGGAGGGAGTCAATACGAGTTCATAAAGCGAGATCTTGAGTCTGTAAACAGGGAGAAAACACCGTTTATTGTAGTGCAAGGACACAGACCGATGTATACTACCAGCAACGAGGTTAGAGACGCTATGATTAGGCAAAAGATGGTTGAGCATTTGGAACCTCTGTTTGTGGAAAACAATGTGACGCTTGCTCTATGGGGACATGTTCATAGATACGAGAGGTTTTGTCCTATAAGCAACAACACTTGTGGTAAACAGTGGCGAGGAAGCCCGGTTCATCTTGTGATTGGTATGGGTGGTCAAGATTGGCAACCGATTTGGCAGCCGAGACCGAACCATCCGGGTCTTCCTATATTCCCTCAGCCTGAACAGTCAATGTACCGTAGAGGTGAGTTTGGGTACACTCGTTTAGTTGCGAATAAAGAAAAGCTTACTGTTTCGTTTGTGGGTAACCATGATGGAGAAGTTCATGATACGGTTGAGATGTTAGCATCTGGGGAAGTAATCAGTGGGAGCAGAGAGGATACTGTTAAGACCGTTCCTGCATCTGCAGCTGCAGCACTTGTGGGAAAATCTGAATCTAATGTCTTATGGTATGTTAAAGGAGCAGGCTTGATGGTTATTGGTGTTCTTTTAGGGTTCGTTATGGGCTTTTTTACAAGGGGAAAGAAAGGATCTTCATCTGATAACCGTTGGATACCAGTGAAGAATGAGGAGACATAATCTTAAAGAAGTTGAATCTATTTTAGGGCATGATTTGTATAGTATATATCTTAGTTCCCACGGTAAGAACCATGTTGTGTACACTGTAATAAGATTTGATTCTTGCAAGTATGAAGAGTTTGTCTGAAAATCACTTTACCATGTTTGGTGTAAATACATACTGTATGTAATAATATTTTACATTGGTTTATCATATCGATTATAGTATATTATGATTTGGATTAGGAACTGAAAAAAATGCTTTTATTGAATAAAATGAGTTATAATATTTACAATTTTTTATAGCAAAGGAATGAACAAGGAAGAGATACTCATAGCCCCTGCAATAAAGAATATTATTTTTGAAGGTTTTTTTTTTGTTAGATGCATGTTGAGAATGTTTCTGACAATTTTGAATTTACATTCTTCCAAGAGTTTAACGAAAGATGAGTCATGCATAGAGTTACAGTCGTCCCTGTCCTTGGGTGCTGGAAACTAGTCTTCTGCTTCACCCGACGTACAACATAATCACAAATGAACTATTTTTTTTTAAAGCTTTAACTGTCTTTAATCTCACAAAAAAGGAGCATGCAAAACTTTTTTTTATTTCAGTGAGTTTCCATTGAATCCAAATGTCTCTTTACTCCTGTTTTGTTTGATTTAAAACAACACAATGTTTATGATAAAAGCAACACATAGTTGTTTTGTTTGGAATGAAAACGTCAATGTTTGTTTTATTTTAAGAGATTGCAAAATAGGAACAACCTTCATAGAGCAAGATTATTATAATTTTCAAAATCATCAAAATTAATAATTAGTGTTACTAACTAATAGTATATGAGAATATAATGATGTGTATAAATTCTTTTTTTGAAAAAAAATAATTTTAATGGTCCAAATTAAGGTTTCAAAGCTCCCCCACTCTCATAAGTGGCGAGTTAACACCACGCTCTCACAATTACCATCAGTTATATGAGAGAATCGTTTGATTTTCGACATATTCTCATTTTGACTTACTAAACCGGTTAATGTGCGCATAAACTGAATTTTATGGTCAAACCAACCGAAAACCGGTTTGAGAAAACACGGACCGGCATTCACTCTGAAAATTCAAATCTTCTATTCGTCGTCTTCTCTCGTTCTCCCTTCTTCCTTCCTCCTCCACCTCCACCTCCACTGTCTCTTCAGTTTCTTTGGGAGTACTCAGCAGCAGGAAGGTTTTACGTTTCATCTTCTTCAGCGAATCGCCTTTGATTTCCATAGTCTCTCCCTTGATGTCTCTCAAAACCGCCAAGATAGGGTTCGCTTCTCTGATTTTTCTACGATTCTTCGTTGATTGACTGAGAGGAGGAGACACATGGCGCCATAGAATTCTCTGGTGAAATACCTCGAGGAGAATAGTTTCGTTGAATTTGGGATTTATTCCGTGTTAGCCGTTAGTGTTTGTATATGTATAGAGAGAGAGAGAGAGGTTTGATTTTGGAGTCATTCGTGCAGGCAAAAATGCTACAAGATGTTCAATAGACGCCAACACCTGTCTTGTGCTACTTTGTTTGCAAATGATCACTCACTTGCCTAATAATGTATGTATGTTCAGACACAAGGTAACTGGACTGACCCAACAAGATTTGAAGAATGGTATGCGGCTTCAGGATGTACGAGAAAAACTGTTAGCCATCTCGTGCGGTGGACATAATAATGATGGGGCTGGGAGGCTTCTTCTTCTTGTTGGTCATGACCTTAGGCATGATAAGAACCATGTTGTGTACACTGTGTAATAATATTTGATTCTTGCAAGTATGAAGAGTTTTGTCTGAAAATCACTTTAAGACCGTTCCTGCATCTGCCAAACTTGTGGGGAAATCTGAATCTAATGTCTTATGGTATGTTAAAAGGAGCAGGCTTGTTGGTTATGGGTGTGCTTTTAGGGTTCTTTAAATATACTGTATGTATTAATATATTTTACATTGGTTTATCATTTTAGGAATTGAAAAATGCTTTTATTGAATAAAATGAGTTACAATATTTACAACATTTATAGCAAAGAATGAACAAAGAAGAGAGTTTCAGAGCTGTACGAACGTAAAGATATAAAAATACATATAGGACATGGTAGTGTTTATTTTGGTAAGGTGGTTTATTTGGAAAGCAAGTGACGTGCTCGTTGATTAGCTCCTTGAACACGAGAGTTGAGCTCATCAATATCGCCGTCGAGATGATCAAGAGCCTTGTTTTGCCTGCAATAACAATTATTAGTATTCTATGATTTAAAATGTATGAAAATATATGTATGTATGTGTGTGTTATCTGACTTGTCGAGCTCAGATCCCATGTCAAGTGCCATGCCCTTAAGATCACCCAAAATGTCACTTAAATCTGAAAGTCCATCGTCTTGCTTTGCCTTCTCTTGCTGCAAAATCAAACATACCATTTTTTTAAAGATTCACAGTTTATTAGAAATTAGAATTTGGAAAAAACACAAACCTCCACTTTCTGCAAAGCGTTTGTTGGTTGGTCTACAGGTTGGCTACTGGACCGTCCTTTTCCAGTCAAACCAAGTTTCTCTCGCTCTTCCTTGTTATTCGCGCTCTTCTTCGACGCTTTATCTAAAACAATTCAACAAAAATCAAGATTTCATTAAATAAATAAAGATTTGAGATATACAATATGTAAGAATATAGTCTCTACCTGGTGTGATCATAGGTCCTGTGATCTCTTTACCCTTCTTAGGTTTCCATGGCTTAGAAAACATCCCTCCTAAGCTGTTCAAAAGCTTCTCTCCCTGCTCTCCCAAAACATTAATCAACAATCATAAAAAAAAACAATGTTCAAGAAATCGCTTTTTCAAAAAAAAAAAAATCATTTCGTTTATATCCGATTTGCCGACTAGACGGACAAAAAAAAGAAAAAACACAGCATCCATGCAAGAAAAAAAGACTAATAAAAAACAAGAAACGGCATTACCCGACCAAGATCTTTATCCATGTCAACAGCCATAACATGAGTCCTGTTGATCTGTTCACCTTGCGCATGCAACATATCAAGCGTTTTTGTAGCATCTGATCTTATATCTTCAGCGATCCTAAGACAGTTATTGACACCTTTGGTTGTCTCTTCGGCTTTATAAACCGCGTACTTCTCTAAATCCTCTGTCGTTTGGCTCTGCAGGTCACCAGAGTTGCTGAAACCCTTCTTGTACTTTTCATCATCCTCATCAAAATCTGGTGTGATCAGGATTGGTTCAGAAGAAGTTCTTCTTCCAGGATTGATTGCTCCTCCTTTGGTTTCATTGGGAGCTTTGTTGTTCCCAGGAGATTTGAAAAGTCCAAACATCTATTGAAGAATGAGAGAAAACTATTTGGTTGAGACGTCTCCAAAGAGAAGATTTAGATTAAGAAAAGTCTAGAGAAAGGGAAAGGAAAATGGTTATCCAAAAATAGAAACCTGTGTTATGAATATCAAGAACGGATCAGAAGAATCGTTTAGATCTTCTCTTTCTCTCTCTGTTTGTGTACCGTTGAAAGGATCTAAAGATGAAGAGGAGATGCGTCAAAGAAGGACAAGTGATCATCAGCCTCTATGAAGGCCCTCTGTTTCTTCTTACTTTTCAGACCGTTAAGTGGCTCTGTTTATGTAACTACCAAAACACTCTGTTTCAAAGGTGGTTGCAAGATCTGAGAAACTATTTATGACAACAGAGCAAATGTCATTGTATTACGGATTAAACGGTCAGTTTATTATACATTTTTGAAGATTTTTTCTTCTTACAAGATAATCTAAATCTGATTTACAAAGGCAATTATAAATAACCTAAGTATCAAAAATAGAAAAAAAAAAAAAAAAAGACTCTAGGACTTGAACTATACAGAGAACTCTCATACAACATCCAGCTTGGAAGATGATCTTAAATAATGCATTTACACATAAGATTCAGAACTGTAACAATGGAGATACGAGACACCATTCTTCATTTACTTTCCCTTACAGAAATCATCCCATGGATTTTCTTGACCAAAGATCTCGTCGATGATGTTGGAAGTTGGCAGAAAATCAATGTTCTTACTCCAACAATGATCTGATAGTAACGAATCACAAGCGTCAAAGGAAAATGGAAGATCCTCCACAAGATCATTGCAGTGGCGCCAATAGTTCCCAACGTCAGATACTTCTCTGTTTTTAACCGGACACTGAGAGTAGATTAAGTCATCGGAGATGCAAGAATCTTCTTCAGCATTCACCTCTTCTTCTTCATCTCTTGAGAGGCTTTTTCCTGTTTTCTCATCTGAAGTTTCAGGACCATAAAACGTGTTTTCATACTCTACTTGCCACTCATCATCGTCACTATCAATGTCCAAGCTTCTAGAACGATTCTGTACAGCTCTTCTTCGAAGAATGAAGACATTGAAATAATAGCTCACAATATCCTTCATGGTTCGTGAAGGAAACACAGACTTTAATTGCTTCCAAAAATCCCGGTCCAATGAAACCGGATTGGAGTAAACAACCTCGTGGAATAGATCTTCTTCCTCCTCAGTTAGTTTACAAGCTACTTCCTCTCCCATTTCAACGAGACCTATGTTCAAACACCTTTCGTATCCAATAGTTTTAAACAAGCTCTCTCTGTTTTCCATGATGTGCTGCTGCACGCATCTGATGGATCCTTTATCCATGCAAATGCATTCCTTTCTTCCTTTACCAATTTCGAAGACCTCGGTTTCACGGTCAGGCATTGGAATAACGCACTTCCCCATCCCTTGTTCTTCACTGACTTCTTCCTTGAGACATTCAGGAATATCAGCTTGGTAATCCGACCCGACTGGAACTTGTTTTCTAGGAGAACTCTGACACAAATCAACATCATCCGCTGGAGACACTGGACTCCAGAGGTAATCTGACTCGGGAGATTCGTGAGAAAGGGAAGACTCCTCCTCGGATGTGATCCAAGAGAAAGGTGTCTTGGTCTCAACATTATCCTCACATTTAAACCCGTAGAGATCATTCAGATCCTCTCCTGCTAGTAACACAAACAACAGATTAAGCATGATGCTTTAGTTTATCTAACCATTTTGCAATGTTGCACTATTATTACCTAAGACAACGCCAGACTTCTCCAGTGAAACACGATATGGAACTCCTTCATCTAGTTTTGCTAGCTTATTGTAATAATCAATCTCTCTTGCATGCTTCACGTTGAACTCTTTTACATCCTCAGCTTCAAAAGTGCGCTTAACACCCATTTTTTTTTGTGTACCTGCAAAATGAAAACCATAAGCTACTTTAGTTACTTGGCGTGCAGGTTATCTATGTCAACTGCTGCTACTAACATCCATACACTAACAAGTACCAAATAACAAGTCTATAACGATGAGAGCTCTAAACTTCTGAGTGGAATTTAAATAAAATTACAAAAGCCCCAATTTAATATGAGTAAATTAAAAAATCCCCAAATATAAGGAACCCTAACCCTAGATTTTAATTCACGACGTATATCACAAAATCAGGAATTTAAAGTCAAAGAATTGGCTAATTATTGGGATAACATATAAAAGCCCTCGATCAATTGAGAGATTTGACAAACCCTAGAAAATCGAAATCTGAAAAAATTGGGGAAAACTAGAAATTAAGAACGAATCCGATAAGAATATCGATAGAATTAAACATCTAATACGAAAAATTGACCAGATCTGTTGTTTACAGGTCTAGATCTAGCTCAAACCCTAGATTTGACAACAACGAATGGATCATTTCAAAACAGATATCAATCGAAAGATAAAATCAAGAGGAAAACGAAAATTACAATTGATTTGAAGATTGATCTGGAAGACGAAATAGATCTGAACACGAATTTGAAGGAAAAATAAATAAATTGGGGGAAATTTCGAAAGAGGAAAATTCGTGCTTTTCGATTTGGGGAAGACCCGGCCCGGATTAAATTCGGATACCGAGACATCGAATGATCTCTACCTTATAAAAAAAAAAATTAAATGAACGAAATTACAAGTCTATCCTCATCGTTTACCAGCACGTGGCTAGCAACTTGCTTTGCCAATTGGCATATCCGCGTATATATCTTTCTAAACCGAAACATAATTGGTATTCAATTTAAACAAACCGGCAAAACAAATTCAACCGGTTATAATCTAATCCTCTTAGCCGTCAAGAGAGAAAAAAAAGAGAGATTTTTTAGTTTCAAGCCGATGGCCGGAGGCTTCTATAGCTCCGACATCGGCTTCTTTAATTTTTCTTATTTCTATTTCTTTGATTTGTTTTCTTTATGGTTTTCTAGTTTGTTTGATTGCCAATTTATTTTGGATCTGGCAAAATTTTGGATTGTTCTTCTTTATGGTTTTTCCAATGGATTTGGAATGGAAAAAACTTCGGTTCAATTGAATCGTTTAGAAAAGGTAATTGACAGATCTACTGCGGATGGTGGCGACGGGTCTTACCGGCTTCAATCGTTGATGGTTCTTCACTTGATGGTGATGGATTTTTTGCTGCAAACTATGGTTACTTCGAAAGACAGCATGAAATTCTATGGAACGGTAATCTCTTTGGCTCTGTTATTATCAA